AGTGCAGGATTTTCAAAAAAAATTTACTTATTCTTATTTGTAAACAAGTTCAAGTTAAAATGTTTCTTAAAGTTTCAGATTGTTCATAATATTATAATATTTTGTAAAAGAAAGAGTTAATCAATTTAAAAAAGATTTCTGTAATACATTTGCGTTTCTCTGCAACAATATTTGAACTTATTGTTATTTTTGGGGTTTATATGACATGAGTTTTCTGATCCGGCCCCTTTGGGATCAAAATAGGTTGGGTACGACCCCCGGACTAAAATGAGTTTGACACCCCTGGTCTAGAGCTACAATAAGCTCTATTCACACTTACGTCACAAACCAGGAAGACGTCTGGAAACATGCGATGACAACTTCCCAGGCTCAGTTTTCTTCATCTCCATGTCATTGTATCGTTCCGTTATGTTCGGCGAATCAACAGTTCCAACCGTACTTCAGTTTTCATAATTTCCCCGTCACATTTACTTCATTGGGTTTGACCGTCGGTCGGTGAGTCCAGTGTCGGGAAATACACCGGACGTTGCAATCGCGTCTTTCCAAACGTCTTCCTGGTTTGTGACGTAATCGTGAATAGAGACTTTTGTGTTGACGTTTTCACTGTTTTGAGTAAAATGGGCGGTTTCCATATGAACTTTGCATAAACTTAGTATCACAGGCATGATTTCGCCTTTGTTTTTTACTGAACCTTATCAAATTGTATTGAATCCAAGGTGCACTATATATAAAAAACATATCGTCCATCTATCAATTTTCTTCTGCTTATCCGGGGCCGGGTCGTGGGGGCAACAGTCTAAGCAGGGACTCCCAGACTTCCTTCACCCCAGACACGTCCTCCAGCTACTCCCGGAGCACCCTGAGGTGTTCCCAGGCCAGCCCAAAGACATAGTCCCTCCAGCGTGTCCTGGGTCTCCCCCGGGGCCTCCTCCCGGTGGGACATGCCCGGAGCACCTCCCGAGGGAGGCGCCCAGGAGGCATCCGGAACAGATGTCCGAGCCTCAACTGGCTCCTCTCGATGTGGAGGAGCAGCGGCTCTACTCTGAGCTCCTCCCGTGTGACTGAGCTCCTCACTCTATCTCTAAGGGAGCACCCAGCCACCCTGCGGAGGAAACTTGTTTCGAGCGCTTGTATCTGTGATCTCGTCCTTTTGGTCATTACCCAGAGCTCATGACCAGAGGTGAGGGGAGGAACGAAGACTGACGGTAAATCGAGAGCTTTGTCTTTCAGCTCAGCTCCCTCTTCAACACAACGGTTCGATACAGCGACCGCATCACTGCAGACGCTGCAAAACATATCGTATCGTGGCCTATGTATCAAGGTATGGATCGTATTGGCAACTTTTTAACAATCCAAGCCAATCCGAAGCAAGGCTGTTGAAGATGGCGAAAGAAGGTCATTGGTCTGTTATTAACGGACAGCTCAGAATTTTGAACATAGGACCTCGTTTCCTAGTGAGCCAGAGACGTGTGGAGACACTTTTTGAAATATTCCATCCAGTCCTTGTATTTGCAGAGGTCGCTGGTGCTAGACTAGTGCATGTCAATGGTCATAGTTCTCCTGCCACTAAAAACAGTCTTACCCACTCCACAAAACACCCGAAACAAATCTATTATTACACCAGACTGTCCGTGTAAATGTCTGTGTCGATAGAATAATTTTAGAAGTAAAACTAACCTTGCATCGCATGAATTGTCGCATGTTGAGGGACTATTTTCTCATGTATCAGTCCGCCGCTGCCAAACTTTCCATCAGGAAGAACAACTCACTGCTGCTGCTCAGACATAAATCCTTCAAATGCAAGGTTGGTTTTATTTCTAAAAGTGACCTCTGCAAATACAAGGACTGGATGGAATATTTTAAAAAGTGTCTCCACACTTCTCCAACACTCTGGATCATGAGGAAATGAGGTCCAAAATTCCGGACTGTCCCTTTAAAGTTCATATTTTGGTTTAAGGACAAAAAAGCAAAATAAAAACATCAGGATCATGTTGAGCGGGTTAATATAAACATTGGTGACAGCAGCTCAGTTGGGAGTGAAAGTGTTTGTCCGAAGGTTGGTGGTTCGAATCCCACTCTCGACATAAACGTCACTGGTTGAGCGGCAGATCCGGGTTAGCTGTGTCCGTGCCGTCTATTGTTGAATTCAAGACAAAATATCAGGAGTCTGGCAGGTTTTTCTGTGCAGAGTTTGACGTTTTGATGTGTGTGTTCCAGGCCAGGTGCAGGACCCGGACACAGGGGAGTGTGTGGGCTGTGAGCCGGGCTGCAGGACGTGCTCCACAGGTCAGTGCTCCGTCACAAAAGGAAATCCAACAGCGATAATGGTGAATATACACGTTCACATATTTGAACTCTTATCTTTCTTTTGTGTGCACAGAAAATCGCGCCGTCTGCAACAGCTGCAATGACGGATACTTTCTGTAAGTAACATTTTATTCTGACGTTTTGCCAGGTCTTTTTAGTGAAAACAGCTCTAAAACTCCTAATGAAGCTTTTATTTATTATCTCAAAGTGCTCATGTTTCGTTATTTTCTGATCTACTGTAGGTTCTAATGTAGTTTCCTCATCACAAACAGACCTGGAGTTGTGTTTTCTTTCATTCACACATGTTTAACACACAAACTAATCCGTGTATCATCCGTTTATTTGTTTTTCAAAATAAAACCAAAAATAAGAAAATGAAAAAAACAACTGTTTTCTTCATTATTTGTCTCCAAAACCAAAATGAAAAACAGATAATGATTAGTTTTTTCAGTTTTCGGTTTTGTGTTTAAATAAAGAATGTAAAAAACGGATAATGGACGTTTCCCGTTTCTGTGACTTAAACTGCAATGCCGGACTGAAGCAGGACTGAAACAGGACTAAAACAGGACTAAAACGGTCTCAGTCCTAGTCTGGTCCCGGTCTCAGTCTTGATCACCCAACAGTCTACTTGGGCGCCCTTCCGGGTCCATCCCCACACTCAGTACTGGTTTAGTCCTGATTTAGACCTGGTTTAGTCCTGTTTTAGTCCTGGTTCAGTCCGTATGCGGCGCAAAAGTCCAGTATTGAAGTTTAAGTTTCAGAAACTGTAAACAACCGTTATCTGTTTTGTTTTGTTTTTCATTTAAACACAAAATCGAAAAATGAAAAAACAAATCCTTATCTGTTTTTTCATTTTGTTTTTGGAGACAAATAATGAAGAATATAGTTGTTGTTTTTTTGGTTTTATTTTGAAAAACAAATAGACAAATGATACATGGATTCTAACCCTGCAGATAGGCTGAGCTCTTCTCTCAAACAGAAAACACTCATGAGTTTACACAAGAAACTCCAGACACTTCAAAAAGTGGAGTGTTAAAATTGACTCTCACAGAATAAATTTTAACATTTTCTCAGGGTTTATATGAGTCCAATCTGTTCTATTTTTAGTTAATTTTACACAAGTAACACTGGACCAAAGTTCCTGTTTAACCCCGAAATCAAGAGTTATATTAACGTTTTGAGAGTAAACAGATAACACTTTGTAGAGTTACTTATTATTTGTAGAGTTATTTTTACACTTTATTTGAGTTAATTTAAAATTAAATTATAAACAAAACTGGTTCAAACTGGTCTTCTCTCGCAGTGGGTGGGAGGAGCCAAATTAACACTAAGGAAAGTTGAATTAACTCTAGTGGAAGCTGAATGTACTTCAGTCATATCAACTCTGAGAAATAACCCCAACTCAAATCCCCATTTAACTTTCAAATAGTGAAAATAAAACTTTTAGTGTTAAAAACAATTGAAATATTTTACCCTGAAACTTTAACGCTCTAGTTTTTGTTGTGTACACTAGAGCCCTGCATCCGCGGGACCCGATGCAAAACAGTTTGCCGGGGGACACATTTTGAAAGCTCGTTGTGGGCGTGGGCGGGAACGGGGTTGCACAATGCGGGAGCGGGCGGGTGGGATGATAAACTGCAGTCCCACAAACTAAATGAGTGTGGAGTTAAATAAACAAATGATTAATGTTTGCTTATCATACATCATTTGTGCTGGATATTTTATTTGGCAGTTATAAAAACATTTTAAGCCGCCTAAACTTGTGGATGTGCTCTAATCTCACGCACATTTTAGACAATTCCTGTCCGCTTCTCCATGTTTGATCGAGTTTAAGAAAGCGAACGTCCCCATCTTGCAAAAATTACAATTCTTTGCGGGCGGGAGACTGAAAATTCTGTCCCGCGCAGACTTCTACTGTACACCTTCATTGGAATTATTTGTCAATCTCTACTAAACAAAAGGTAAAAGCAGCTGTGAAAACTACCGCGTCATGACATCACAAAGTGTAACAGAGTTTTTTTTTAGTTTTTTTTAATAACTTTGTTTTTATTGGTTTTAAGTAACATTTCAAAACATACACAAACAATATAAAATCAAAAACAATGTAACAACAGTCTGGAGTTACAGGGAACAGAGCATTTTGAGCTTTGGAGATTTAGATAGACTAAAAACAGAGTTACTCAAACATGTGTGAATGAAACAAAACACAACTCCAGGTTTGTTTTCGAAGAGGTAAACAACATTATAACATGGCTCACAAGCTCACAGAGTCAATTTTGAGTAATAAATGACCTTTAATTAACTTTTCATCAGCCCAAATGTTACTTTTTTATTAATTATTGACTATAATAAAATTCAGTTTTGCTCGATCACGTATTGACGTTACCGTAAACATCGTTCCAGTGGGTCCATAGTTTGCGAGCGTCACTGTGAACTAAAGAAATAAACAGATTTATTTCATTACACCGTCTAATAAAAATAATATTACATGGGGACCAGATTTTAGACAAAACGGGTGAAAATAAAAATGTCCATTGAAACATAAACACATGATGGATGTTTGGTATTTTCTGACATTTCTCTTCTCGAAAGTCAATAATGTGATGAGTTTCTGTTTCCTCCTCTTTTTTTTTCTGTCTCTTGTTATATTTAAAACTGATGGTGATGCGTTTGGACAGACCGGTGTTTGCGGAGGGTCCTTAAACACACCGCTGACCCCTGGTGCGTTTACTGTCTCCAGGAGAAACGCAAAACCTGCAGAGAATGAACCGATACCGGGAGGCGTGGCGCGACCTCCAGCTGAGCCACAAACACGTGACGAATGTGAAGCAGCTGCGTCGGTTTAAACACGACATAATTAGAAAGACAGTTTATCGTCTTTAAAGGTCCATGGAGCTGTTGTTGCTTTGCCCGGAATGTTCCGCAGTGAAGCATTGAACTCAAACTAGGTCTAGATACAGAATCCGTGTTTCAGTCGTTCGTTCGTTTTTCAAAATAAAACCAAAAATAAGAAAACGGAAAAAAAAACAGCTGTTTTCATCATTATTTGTTTCCAAAATACGAACTGAACCAGGACTAAACTAGAACTAAACCAAGACTAAAACAGAACTAAAAAAGGACTAAACTAGGACTAAACCAGAACTGAACCAGGACTGAGTGTTGGGAGGGGCCGAGAGGTGCTCCTGTGAAGACTGTTGGGTGACCGCAGGTGAAAGGTTTAGTCCTGGTTCAGACCTGGTTTAGATTTGGTTTAGTCCTGGTTTAGTCCTCCTGGTTCAGTCCTGGGATCGGTCCTGGTTCAGTCCAGCAACTTGGGCTGGGTCAGAAGTCAGGACTCGTAAGTCGAGAGTCAAGAGTCTGGAGTCGGGAGTAGGAAGTGGGGAGTCAACAGTCGGGAGTCAGGGGTAGGAAGTAGGAGTGAAGAGAACTAGGGCCACAGCCCGGGGAAACTGTGAGCTCCCACACAGTAGTAAGGAGTCAGGAGTCTGGAGTCAAGAGTGAAGAGTGAAAAGTCAGAAGTTGGGAGTAGGAAGTAGGGTGTCAAGAGTCTGGAGTCAAGAGTCGGGAGTAGGAAGTAGGTGTCAAGAGTCGGGAGTCAAGAGTCGGGAGTAGGAAGTAGGGAGTCATGAGTCTGGAATAAAGAGTCTGGAATAAAGAGTCAGGAGTCAAGAGTCGGGAGTAGGAAGTAGGGTGTCAAGAGTCTGGAGTCAAGAGTCTGGAGTCAAGAGTCGGGAGTCAAGAGTCGGGAGTAGGAAGTAGGGAGTCATGAGTCTGGAGTCAAGAGTCTGGAGTCAAGAGTCTGGAGTCAAGAGTCGGGAGTCAAGAGTCGGGAGTAGGAAGTAGGGAGTCATGAGTCTGGAATAAAGAGTCAGGAGTCAAGAGTCGGGAGTCAAGAGTCGGGAGTCAAGAGTCGGGAGTAGGAAGTAGGGAGTCATGAGTCTGGAATAAAGAGTCAGGAGTCAAGAGTCGGGAGTCAAGAGTCGGGAGTCAAGAGTCGGGAGTAGGAAGTAGGGTGTCAAGAGTCTGGAGTCAAGAGTCTGGAGTCAAGAGTCTGGAGTCAAGAGTCAGGAGTCAAGAGTCGGGAGTAGGAAGTAGGGAGTCATGAGTCTGGAATAAAGAGTCTGGAGTCACGAGTCTGACGTCAAGAGTCATGGGTCAGGAGTCAAAAGTCGGGAGTCAAAAGTCGGAAGTCGAAACTTGGGAGTCGTGAGTAGGGAGTCTAGAGTCGGGAGTCAGGAGTCAGAAGTGCCCATAGACTGTGTAAAGAGGATTTACATAGAGAGTCCTCGGGTGGATTCGCTGGACTCGTTGGGAGCAGGTGTCCTTAAACGTGGAGCTGTGAGTGTCGAGGTCTCGTGTCTCTGGGTGTGTCCCTGAGCTCCGGTGTATTCATTTGTCTTTTTATGGACAATGGGGCTGGGAGTGGGACTGGAGCAGTGCATGCTGGGATGTGAATTTCTCCAGGCTCTGATACAAAGACCTGATGCACTTTGATGTGATGGAGCAGAAACTGGTCTGACCGCTGTTTTGTTGTGGTCGTCTTTCATTTTAAAGCAGATCTGTCCTGCGGTAACAGACTTTTCAAAGGTTTTAACCGTGTTATATTTGTTTTGCAAGCTTCAGGTGAATAAATGAGAAGTGAATTTTTTTTTTTTTTATCTTGATTTTTTTGCACACACTGGATGATAACAATTTAAATCAAAGTCAGAGCCCTGACAGCTTCAAACGGCAGAAGCTCTTTACGGTTTCATTCTTATCACATTATTTTTTAAGAAGCTGTAAACATCTTAAACATTACTTTTGTGTAGATATGGAACTGCATAATTTATTATTATTATTATTTTATTTCATTCATAAAGTATAAAAAGACATTAACAGTGTCACAACATCAAACATACAAGAAATGAACAAAAAGGAGCAGTAAAAAGAGTCGTCTTATGTTATCTGCCGTCTTTGCCCTTTTCCAGACAAAACATCAACACTGATAGTTTCTAAACATTTCACATCAGAACATTTCGCTTCAGTTAAATTATTAATCAACTGCAAACAGAAATCTTCACTATTATGTACAACAACTTGTGTATTTTTAAATGTCGTCATTGTACTTGATTCTTTTATTTCTTTGTCAAGATTATTCCATAATTCATAATTCCATTCGTTCCATAACCTCGGTTCTGAATCTGTTTTTTTTTTAAACATGTAGGTTCCTTTTAAATTGTTGTAGCTTGTTTTCATAATAATAACAATAGTAATAAGAAACCAACGAAGAACAATACCAAATATATCACCCTGAAATTTTAACCCTCCAGTTTTTGCTGTGTACACGTTCATTGGAATTATTTGCCAATCTGTACTAAACAAACGGTAAAAGAAGCTGTGAAAATTACCGCTTCATGACATCATAAGGTGGAACAGAGCGTTTTGAGCTTTGGAGATGTAAACAGACTAATAATAAAGTGTGTGATTGAAACAAAACACAACCCCAGGTCTGTTTTCGAGGAGGTAAACAACATTATAACATGGCTCACAAGATCACAGGAGTTAATTTTGAGTAATAAATGTCGTCATTGTACTTGATTCTTTTATTTCTTTGTCAAGATTATTCCGTAAGTTAATTCCTTTCACAGCGACGCTTTGCTCCATAACTTTGGCTCTGAATCTGGGTTTTATAAACATGTTGGTTCCTTATAAACTGTAGTGGTTTGTTCTCGTCTCAAACAGTCTTTAAATATTTGCAGGTCATACGCTGCACTTTGCTTTAAACATGACTTTGAGGAGACTTAAGTCAACAATATCCTGCATTTTCAACACTTTAAGTTGAACAAATATTGGGTTTGACGGCTCTCTACAGTATAAAGACCAGAGTTGTTCATTGCCTTGAGTCTGACGATACGATACATATCATGATTCACATGTCACGATTCAGTATATCCCGAGCTTCAGGATAGATTTTAAAGTTCTTTTATTAGTTTATAAAGCTTTTAATGGTCTTAGTCCTTTTATTTATCTGATCTGCTTTTATCATATGAGCCTCTCGGACTCTCAGGTCCTCAGGTCTCGTCTTTTAACTGTCCCAAGAGTCCAGACTAAAACCCACGCTGAGGCGTCATTCAGCTTTTATGGCCCCCGTTTGTGGAGCAGTCGACCTGAGGATCTGACGTCCGCTGCGAGTGTTCAGATTTTTAAAAGTAAACTTAAAACTTATCTTTTTAATTTAGCTTTTAATTGAAACTTTTATCTGTCTTAACTTAAATTATTATTATTATTATTATTATATTTATTTATTCTAAATTAAATTATCATTACTGTTTTACTTTGTCTCCATTTTGATTTTTATAATAACCTTTAGGAGTTTTATGTTTTTGTTTTTATGTTTTTGTTTAAATGGTTGTATATATGATATAGATGAAACAAAGGGATGGGGTGGGGGGTTGCTCTTGATTTTAATTATTGTATTGTAATTTTTCTGTTGCATGTGAAGCACTTTGTGCTACATTTTAAATGTATGAAAAGTGCTATACAAATAAAGTTTGATTGATTGATTGATACTAAAACAGTGGATGATATATTGCGATATATCAATAATACTACTTCTTCAAGAGAACACACAATTGTATGAAATATAACATATAAACTTTTTAAAATTATGAGAACAATGAATTTAACTAATGAATTTTTGTGAAAAATATTATTTAAAAAATCGATTCAGATCCATTTTGAAGCGATTCGAGAATTGTGCAATGAAGTATCGCGATATATCACTGAATCGATTTTTTCTTACACCCCTAATAAAGACTGTTGGTAATAATTCTCAAGGCCCTTTTTTGTAAAATAAATAAAGGTTGTAGGTGAGTTTTACATGTTGAAACCCAAATTTCTACACAGTACGTCAGATATGGAACATTTATAGCGTTAATACTGCTGCACTATTTACTGAGAACTTTACTTTATGCAGAACAGCAATCGCTTTGGAAATTTTGCCTTTTGTGTAATTTATATGAGACAAACTCCAGTTTAGACCTTCATCAATCAACTCCTACAAATTAGGTTTTATTTACTCTTTGAATCTAAAATTAACATTAAGAATCAATCCATTTAAATCAAACCAATCTTTTACTTTTCTTAGCTCTTTGTTAACTTTACTTGTGACTTCTTTTATGTCTTTTCCAAAGAAAAATAATGTTGTATCATCAGCAAATAGAATTTTCCCAAGCTCAGAAACTTTAACAAACTCATTCATGTGTTAAATAAATAATAATAATAACCCTGTTTTGAAAGTAAGAAAGTCAGGAATAACTTGTTTCGTCATAATCTTCTAGTTCACATTTTTACAGTTTTTCAAAATATCAATTCTTAAATATCTGAGTTAATTGAATTAATTTGAAGAATTGTCCAGCTCTAGTGTCTGAGTCTGTATCTAAAATTATAAACTCATCAAAGTGAATAATGAAGATGCTCTGAACGCAAAACTATAAATCGTATAAAACCGTATAAAACAATCTCATTTGTTGTTTCACGTTTTTGAGACAGTAAAGATCATGCCTTTTAGTAGAAGCCTGAAAAACTGTGTGTGTTTTATAGTTTCAGGTCGAAGTGTCGGAGACATTGTCCTCAGCGCACATACACAGACTCCGAGGGGCGGAGCTGTGTACAATGCCCCGCCCCCTGCTCCGACTGCAGCTCCAGCTCCTGCCTCTCCTGTCTGCCCAGCCACTTCCTCAGCGGTAACACAAACTCACTCATCTTCTCACCTGCTTTGTTACGATTTTCACTCCAGTTTGTATCTTAATTTTTAAAACAGACCTGTTTCAGAGCTTTTAACCATGTTGTAGTTGTTTCCCGTCACCATTTACTCATCAGAAGTTGTATTTTGGAGTGATTCGTACATGTTTGAGTCTTCTTTAATCGCTTATTTTCAACTTTAAACTAAAGTAAAAAGCATTTCATCATAAATCAGACTTGTTATGCAAAAAGGACTTTTCAGATCTTTTCTCCATTTTAAAGTAGATTCTTCTCATTGACCCTCTGAAGTTTTATTTGGAGTGATTCGTGCATGTTTGAGTCGTCTTTAATCGCTTATTTTCAAGACGCCGTTTTGCCGAACAACCCCCGTTTTCAGCTCCACCGGTTCACGCCCATTGTGACGTACTTTAATGTAATTTTATTTTCTTAATCTGTGGTTCTTTTAGGATTGGGCAGCGTCGCGTTGGCTTTTTGGTCCAAATTTTAACAAAACAAAACGCTCTGCTCTAGTGTGATGTGCAGCTATCCACAGGAGGGGCCCACAGCCTGGTTTAGTCCCGGTTTAGTCCTGGTTTAGTCCTGGTTTGATTCTATCCATAAGAGGGGCCCACAGCCTGGTTTAGTCTCGGTTTAGTCCTGGTTTGGTCCTGATTTAGTCCTGATTTAGTTCTGGTTCAGTCCTGGTTTGGTCCTGGTTTAGTTCAGGTTTAGTCCTGGTTTAGTCCTGCTTTGGTCCTGGTTTAGACCTGGTTTAGTCCTGGTTTAGTCTTGGTTTATTCCTGTTTTACTGCGATGTTAATTCCCATTGGACACCGCAGTTTTCTAACGTCAAAATCAGCACGCTTGTTGCTTTTATTAAGTCTTTTTAGATCAATATTTTGATTTAAAATGTCCAAATTATAACAGAATGATCCACAGATGTCACAGATTATAACAATAGACACACAAGCACTGTAAGTCCTCTTCTTCATAAGTATATTAAAGTATATCTGAATGTTAAATGTTTTGGACTGCATGTTTGTGTTTTTCTCTTGTCCTTGGACATTGCAGATAGTGATTCTCTTCTGTCATCACTGATGCAAATTCCTTCCAGAGATAAGATATTATGAGCAAGTTAAACCAAAACAAGTGGACTTACTGGAGTTTTTGAGGCCAACTTTTCGCTACCAGACAGATAACTTTAATATTATCGTTCAAAAACAACACAGATATTTGAACACGACGTGCGTTCTTTTTATAAGAAAGTGAGACAAAGCTGCACATTTACTCTTAAACTCCTTTTAATGAATGACGACGTTTGGATCAGTGGATCTTGGTCAGGTCTTGGTTCTCTCTGTGCCCCACTCCCGTACAAACCCTCTGCTCACTGATTGTTTTCCAAATCCAAAAGTGACCCACTGTACGTCATATAACATGAGCCGTTACCTAACTCCATCAGTCCTATGTTTTTATCGGGCAAGTAAATTACCATTCATCCATCCATCCATTTTCTTCTGCTTATCCGGGGCCGGGTCACGGGGGCATCAGTCTAAATAGAAACTCCCAGACTTCCTTCACCGCAGACACGTCCTCCAGCTCCTCCAGGGGGACCTCGAGGTGTTCCCAGGCCAGTCCAGAGACATAGTCCCTCCAGTGTGTCCTGGGTCTTCCCCGGGGCCTCCTCCCGGTGAGACATGCCCGGAAGTAAATTATTTCTGAAATAATATATTTAATAAGCACATATCTATGGCTACGTTCACACTGCAGCCTGAAGTGACTCAAATCAGATTTTTTGGCCCCTATGTTCCTGTATCTGATCTTTTAATGTCAGTCTGAACCACACAGATCCGATTTTTTCAAATGTGACCCAGGACACTTGGATATGTGCTCCTGAAACTGATACATATCTGATCTTTTGACATGTGACTTCACTCTGAATGTGAATGAAAGTGCATTCATCCACCTACACGTTATCAACAAGACACAAACGTCACTATTCTGAAGTAGGTGAAAATTGTTAATGAACTCTGTGTCACTGAAGTGAAGCACATCACCACTCACCACTCTTGGCTCCGTCTCCACATCCACATGTTCCTTTCAACGTTCTGTCCCACAAAACACCACGACCAAAAACCTCGTCCTTCTCCTTCTCAATCTCCTCCTTAAAACAAGTAAGTTGTTCATGTTCTGGCTCCGGTACGAGAGGAACTTTAAAATCTCCAGGTGCTCAATGCTGCGTCCATGTTTGGACAACTTCCGTAAACACAGAGACGCTCGCTGCGGTTGACGTCATCGTGTCTCCAGTGTCACATGCGGGACACTTTTGGACCGTTTAATGTTCACACTGGAGTCACATACAAGTCGCATTTAATTGGAAATGTGAACGACCTCGCAAAAACATCGGATTTCACAAAAAAATCGGAATTGAGCGTTAAGCCCTGCAGTCTGAACGTAGCCTTAGTTCTTCGGACATGCTTGAATCAGACAAAGACACGTTTTGGCTTCTTTGGGTCTTTTATTTTAACACGTGCGGGACAACATCGCAGCGGCAAGAACCCAAAAACCCCAAAACATTCACAGTACAAAATAAAGTGCACAATAAAAAGCACGTTTCCAAACGTCTTCCTGGCTTGTGACGTAAGCGTGAACAGAGCGTACATACAGTATTTAAGGGAGGATGAGGTGCTGTGTTTCTTTAAAATGTGCAGCTACGTGATCTTATTTATTGACAGGACAATTGTTGATTTGGTTTGTAAATCAGCTCCGGACGACTCGCAGAAAACATGCAAAACACTCTGAAGGCGAAAGCGGAGACAGAGCTGTGCGTTTACCTCTGACAGCAGCACTTAGACTCCGTGTTCTGTGTGTATTTTGTGCGTTTTTGTGTGTTCCACTGTGGTTTTCTGTGATTTGTGTGTCGTGATGTGGTTTTTGTCCTGGGCTCGGCTCCACATGAGCTGCAGACTCAGGTCAGACTCAGAGGTCGGGTCACACAGTTACCATGGAGACTCTCTGGGAATTTAGACTTTTTACTAAACTACCTTCCTCCTTAAAGGGCCCATTTACACTATTTTCTGATCTGTTATAATGTATTTTTCTCATCACAAACAGACCTGGAGTTGTGTTTTGTTTCATTCTCACATATTTAACACACAAACCTGCACATTTATGCTCAGATCTTCTCTCAAACTGAACTTCACTGTGTTGTGACCTGAATTTTCAATCTCTAAAGGAGCTGTTATGTTGAAAACTACCGCTGCATAGAGTTGGGCGGTAATATAGTATTACAGCATCCCGCGGTATCAAAAAGAAGCAACAGAGTCAGTTTCATTAACCTCATAAAAAAAAATCTACAGCGCATTAAGACCTAATATAATATTATAATTTACTGATACCTACATTTGTTTGCTCAGCACAAATGAACGTGTGGTTGTATTTTCAATGTGATGCTGTTACTATTTAAAACTAATTGTGTCTATAATGTTTCTTTTAACTGCGCGGGGAGACGACGATCGATTAGTTTTGTTCTGTTGTCACGTGACGCTCATGAGGGAGACAAGACGACAAGTCAGACCGCAAGTGAGTTGATCCCAAAAAATAAAAAATAAAATAAAATACTAGAACTTCTGCAATTTACAGCATTTTGGCTTCAGTCGCATATTTGTTTACGTTTTACTGAAATGAAACTTAAAACCATGTGACTCATTTGCATAAACTATAAAAGCTGATAAAAACAGCTCGCTCCTTGTGCGCTGATGCGGTTCAGCTTTCTGTCGGACTAAAGGACACGACTCAGTGGAATATGAGTGTTCTTTCTGTGACAGAGGGGTGTTCTGCTGATGGTGAGTCTGTTCTGTGTTTCTATCGTGTTGATTGGTTCACGTGAAACTTTTCAGAGATTATAAATCTGCAGGTCAGACACACAGACTGTACAGCGATGCAGCTTCGTAGTTTACCAAAGTCGTACTAAAACATTTTGGTAATACAGTAATACTGTATACCCCTAGATCGAACTGGATCGAAATTTGAATATCGCCCAAACCTACCATGTCCGTTGTGACCATACCGGCTTGTCAAAGTCTAGTCCCGTCAGATCACAGAAACTAAGCAAGGATCGGACCTGGTCAGGACTTGTACTGGGAGACACTGGGAAAATCAGGAGCCACAGGAGGCGCCAGTCACAAAAACTGTCGTCGTATCTTCAGGCAAGACACTTCATTCACATTGCAGAGTATGAAATTGGTGAGTGTGTGTGTGTGTTGGTGGTGGTTCGGAGGGGCCAATGGTGCAGATTGGCAGCCTCACTTCTGTCAGTCTGCCCCAGGGCAGCTGTGGCTACGGTAGTAGTTTACCACCACCGGGTCTGGAGTGAATGAATAAAGCTCTGTAAAGCGTCTCTGAGTGTCCAAAAAAGCACAATATAAAACTGATGTATTATTACCACTACATGACATCACAAGGACACAAGGACTAAACCAGGACTGAATCAGGACTAAAAACTAGGTAAACTAGGTCTAAACCAGGACTGAACCTGGACTAAACTAGGTCTAAACCAGGACTAAAACAGGTCTCCTAAAGGGTCCTATCTGCCGTTGTGTTTCAGGAGGGACGTGTGTGAAGCTGTGTCCTCCGCAGACCTTCGGTGACACCAGTGGGTGGCGCTGTGAGCCCTGTCACTCTTCCTGTCTGTCGTGTCGGGGTCCGGGGCCCTCGGACTGTGAGCTGTGTCAGGAAGACGCCGCTCCTGTGAGGGGCCAGTGTCCAGGGCTCAGATGTTCCCCGGGAAAGTACTTTAACGGTCAGAACATTTTAACTTTTTGTCCTAATTACAAAAATGTGTCTGCTTGAAATTAGAAATATTTCCTATCAGTCTGTGTGTATATTATATTTTTTATTATTTATATTTAACCCGTGTGTCGTTCGTTCATTTGTTTACTTCATTTTCTTCATTATTTGTCTCCAAAACCAAAATGAAAAAACGGATAACGATTTGTTTTTTCAGTTTTCGATTTTGTGTTTAAATGAAAAATGGAAAAACGGATAATGGACTGAACCAGGACTGAACCAGGACTAAACCATTTTCAGTCCCAGTCTGGTACCGCTCATTGTCCTGGTCTTAGTCCCGGTCTGGTCCTGGTCTCAGTCGCGTTCTGGTCGCGGCTTTGGTCCCGGACCTGGTTCAGTCCTGGTTCTGGCATCGCAGTTTAAGTCACGTAAACTGGAAACGGTCGTTATTCGTTTTTTTTTTTTCAATTTTTCATTTAAACACAAAATTAAAAACTGAAAAATTTAGATTTGTTTTTTTAATTTTCATTTTGGAGACAAATAATGAAGAAAATAATTGTTGTTTTAACATTAAACATACAAGAAATGAATGAAAAGGAAAAACACTGAGAGTTACTTTAAAACATTTCATCTCAATCACAAATATTCATCAGCTGCAAACAGAAATCTTCACTTTTATGCACAACAATATTTTTCTTTGGTTTTGTTTTTCATATGAACACATTACACTGGATTTAATTTGTTTTTTAAATGTCGTTATTGTTCTTGATTCTGTAAATTCAGTAAAAAATGTCTATAGGTGAGTTGTATAGAATCGCATTAAATTTTAAGTTTGTCCAGCTTAAAAAATAAAAAAATAACTTTAAAAATAGATGAAAATTGAGCCATACAGTATCAGTGGGATAGTTCAATAATGAATTTAGCTCCCTCTGCTGGACAACATGAAAATGTAAACAAGAAGAGAAAAGAAACACTGAGGCTTTTGGACAGTATATATTATTTGAATTAAACATAAACAATAGTCTTTATATAACATAACGTAATAAATGATTTAATTGTGTTGTGATTCACATGTTCGAGTGTTTTGTGTCTTGTTTTCAGTGAGAGATGGAATGTGCTCAGACTGTGACATTTCCTGCCAGAGCTGCTTCGGTTCTACGTCTCTGGACTGTTCCTCCTGTTTCAAAGGTACATGATCTATTTAAAGCCCCACTGTGGGACTTTTCAGACAAAAAAGGCTCTAATATAAGCTTATAAGTTTTATTTGGATGTTTTTATTGCTCTACGTTTGTTCTTACTGTGAGTGGGTTTGGTCATCTGTGTGTCATTCGTTTGATTTTCAAAATAAAACCAAAAATATGAAAATGAAAAAACAACAGTTTTCTTCATTATTTGTCTCCAAACAAAAATGAAAAAACAGATAATTATTTGTTTTTTCAGTTTTTGATTTAGTGTTTAAATTAAAAATGGAAAAAACGTGACTTAAAATGTGATGCTGGACTGAACCAGGACTGAGACCAGGATCAGACCAGGACCAGACCAGGATCAGACCAACAGGACTGAGACCAGGACCAGACCAGGACTGAGACCAGGATCAGACCAGGACCAGAACTGGACTGAGACCAGGATCAGACCAGACCAGACCAGACTGGACTGACCAGACCAGACTGAGACCAGACAGACAGGATCAGACCAGGACCAGACCAGGACTGAGACCAGTACCAGACCAGGACCAGACCAGGACTGAGACCAGGATCAGACCAGGACCAGACCTGGGACTGAGACCAGGACCAAGGTCAGGACCAGACCCAGACTGGAACTGAGACCGAGATAAGACCAGGACCAGACCAGGAATGAGACTGGGACTTGGTTTAGTCCTGGCTCACTTCTGGTTTAGTCTCACTGGTGCTGGTCTCAGTCTTGGTCTCAGTCCTGGTCTGGTCCCAGTCTCAGTCCTGGTCTGGTCCCGATCTTAGTCCCAGTCTGGTCCTGGTGTCAGTCCTGGTCTGGTCCTGGTCTCAGTCGTGGTCCTGGTCTCAGTCCTGATCACCTGACAGTCTATGCGGGCTGTGATCTCTTTTTATTTTACTTCCATTTCCGTGGAGTCCTGCAGGTGACACGTCCAGAAAGTTCCGTGTTGTTGCTTTAGGTGTTTTGTTGACTTCTCTTGTTCCCTGTCGTCGTGTTTCAGGATTCTTCTTGGACCAGGACGGCTCGTGTGTGGAGCAGTGTCCCTCCGGCTCCTTCTCTAACTCCGTCCTGGGCGTGTGTGAGAACTGCGCCCCCTACTGTGAGCTGTGTGCAGACTCCAGCGACAACTGTGTGAGCTGCTCCAAACACGGACAGACGCCGTTCCTCCACCAGGGCAAGTGCTGGTCTGAGTGCCCCGAGTGAGTCTCAGAACGTCTGATAAAGCCAAGTCTTATAAAGCATCATGATTTAAAGCTCTGTGTTTTTACAATGCAGGTGTAGCATCTTTTCACTCTTAATGATCTCTGTGGTAGTGAGGCGCATTGTGTTGTATTCATGAGGTTTACTTTTCTGTTTATTGGCATTTTGAGGACACTACACCATTCAAGAAATAGATTTATTTATTTATTTATTTTTAAACTAGAAAAGCACTCAGAGAGCGCAGACCTCCGCCAAGGACTACAGTCCCCCTCATATTAATTATGTTTTCCATAAATATTTGTCTCGTATCTTTCAATTTGGAATATGAAAGAGGATCCCATTGTCCATCCCTGAGTCAAATTTCATGGGGTTTGGTCAATAATTAACCCAGATATTGAGAAACAAAATTTTTGGCCCCATTTACCACAATGTTAACTAAAATTTCAAAGTGATCCAGAATCCAGGATTTCTTCCAGATCAGCCCCAAAATGAAATCAGTTCTTCCTTTTCACATTTCCAACAAATCCTGAAAATTTCATCAAAATCGGTCCATAACCTTTTGAGTTATGTTGCTAACAGACAAACAAACAAACAAACAAACAAACAGACAAACAGACAAACACAACAAAAACAAACAAACAAACAAACAGACAAACAGACAAACAAACAAACAAACAAACAGACAAACGCTGGCAAAAACATAACCTCCTTGGCGGAGGTAATAATCATTGCTATAACAACAGTGTTAATTTTTCATTACTCTAAAACCCATGGACAGGAGATACCAGGAGCCAGGCATTTGTTTATCAGACTAACAGCAGATTTTTTTTTTTTTTTTGTCTGATGTCACAGTCATCTTTATCACGAGCTCATATAGAGACACATTATAGAATTTAAGTTAGTCTAATGTTTAAATAATTAATAATGAATTGTTTCAGTAAATCAATACTGCAATCATTGAAGAAAACACACAAAGATTAACTACTTCTGATTGTTTTTTACCAAAAACACCAAAATTACTTAATTTCGAATTGACTTATCTTACCAAAAACACAAGGGGAAAGATGGTTTGATATCTTTGACATGCGTTGAATCGAGAGACCCACTCCTCTGGTGTGTTTCAGCGGTTTGTTCGAGTCGGAGGAGGGCCTGTGTGACCCGTGTGACGCCCCCTGTCAGACGTGTGACGGGGGCAGTTCTCTGTGCCTGTCCTGCTCAGAGGGGCACGTTCTGGAGGGGAGGAGCTGCAGACTCAACTGTTCTGAGAGGATGTTCCGCTCCGAGGATGGGACCTGTAAACACTGCCTCGCCCACTGCGACGTCTGCTCCGACCTGCACACCTGCACCAGTGAGTCCACTGTTTTCACTGTTTTAAATAAGTAATGAACCAACCGTATAATGTTTAATCTGTTATTATGTCATCAGAATTATAATCTTTAAAATAAACCTATTGTCCCAAAACATTTTTAGAGCTTCTAAGCAGGTTATAGTCGTTTTTAATAATTTTCTCTCACTATTTACTCACCTGAAGTTGTGTTTGGAGTGACCTGTGCATGTTTGAGTCATCTTTAATTGATGAACCTGTTTTCAATAAAGACTACTGGCGGAAAAAATGCAAATATTTAAATTTGGAAAAATATGTGTTTCTCTAGCTCTCTGTACATCCCTGAACTGGGAGAACTCCTGGTTGAACTGGTGTGGGGGCACCAGTCTGTACTTTGTGACTATTTCCTCCCCTCTAATTTTCAACTAACCAATGAGATGTGAGTTGTGTGGGAGATGAGGCGATGAATGTGACTGTGGCTCCGTCCACAGTCGTTCGTATTCGCGTTGTTTTCGTTGTGGATGCAGTGTTCGTTCACACTAATCCGATGGAAAACGGCTCCAGACTGAACGATCTGGTGCCTCCAGCTCCCATGAATTCATGTTCGTACAGATCTGATCCGGCACCGTGTGGACTCCTGAAAACACTGATACTCTGATGTAGGTCTGTGCACCGCGAAGTAATTCACCGACAAAACACTAAGAGACTAGAATATCTGTCCATTCATATAAACGTGTGTCTGTGTGTACGACCTGCAGACGTATAATCTCTGAAAAGTTTAACATGAAACCATCTCCAACACGACACAGAAAACACAGAACAGACTCACCATCAGCAGAACACCCCTCTGTCACAGAAAGAACACTCATATTCCACTGAGTCGTGTCCTTTAGTCCGAAAGAAGCTGAACTGCATCAGCGCACAAAGAAAGAGCTGTTCTTTTGAGCTCTTAATTTATGCAAATGCGTCATGGGGTTTTATGTTTCGTTTCTGTAAAACGTAAACAAATATGCTCAAAGTTGTGTGGCTAGAGAAGGCTTCACTGTCGCAGTGACTCAGTTGTTCAGTCGTGTCTAGAAGTGGCACATTGGACTCACTTTTTCGGTTCGTTCCTCCGTTCCGTTCCTCGTCGGCTTGGAGTGATGAGTGTGTCTGTGGGTGTTTTGCTCTGTGCGGTCGCTGTCGCTGAGTGCGGAAAATACGGTAGTATAAATTTCCAGATTCCAGATAGTTAGTAGAAGGAGTAAAAGTAAACGATAATTATGTCACAGATAGTAATCTCAAGAGTGTTTAGTTTAGCTTTGTGTGTAATTGTTTTTAATCACTGTAAAGCGCTTGGTGTTGCATTTTTGTATGAAAAGCGCTCTATAAATAAAGTTTGATTTGATTTGATTCGATATCATGGAAACTGGCATGATTTCACGTCTTCCATAGGTCAAAGATCAAAGGTTAGAAATACTACACATTACCAAAAAATAACCAAAAATGTCCCAGTAATGCAAAGAACATGTACGCACGATAAATACTGACCCCCGAAATATTGAACGATAACTCGGTGTATTGATGATGGTCACAGGTTTGTTGAGCGTCTTGTGTGTTTTGCAGAGTGCAGTTTCTTGTACCTGATGCTGGACGGAGTGTGCAGGGCCAGTTGTCCTGAGTGGTACTACGAGGACATGGAGGGGGGCCGCTGCGAGCCGTGCCACCCGACCTGTGCCTCCTGCTCCGGGCCCCTGGGAGACGACTGCGACTCCTGCTCCTCCACCAGCCCCATGCTCTACAAAGGCGCCTGCTTCAGAGAGTGTCCGAGCGGAACGTACTACCAGACCACAGCCAAAGAGTGCCAAGGTAACGCCCGAAAACTCACACGTGTAGTTCAACGAGGTTCACTTGGTCTTCAGATAACTTATATTATTAGGTTCTTTTTTTAGACTAAGAGTTTGTCACATCAACAGCATCAACTCCAGTCCAATGAAGCTCATTGAGGCTGGAAGATTTATGGACAAAACATTGAAATAAAAACAGCAGGATCATGTAGGGCAGGTTAATACGAACAGAAGTTCTGCTGCTGAGCGCTGTGTGTGATTTCAGTGTCAACCATGGATCTATAATAATAATTTTTTTTAATTATAGTTCTATAACAGGAGTGTCAAACTCATTTTGGTCGGGGGTCGTATCCAACCGACTCTGATCTCAAAGGGGCCGGATCAGAAAACTCATGTCATATAAACCCCAAAAATAACAATAAGTTCAAATATTTGTGCAGAGAAACACAAATCTATTACAGAAATCAGGATCAGACCAGAACTGAGACCAGGACTGAGAACGAGACTGAGACTGGGACCAGACCAGGATTGAGACCGGAACTGAGACAGCGACTGAGCTCGGGACCAGACCAGGATCAGACCAGGACTGAGACCAGGACTGAGACTGGGATCAGACCAGGACCAGACCAGAACTGAGACCGGGATCAGACCAGGACCACACCAGGACTGAGACCGGGACTGAGATCGGTACCAAACTAGGACTGAACCAGGACTGATCCCAGGACTAAACCAGAACTGAACCAGGAATCTTTTTTTTTCTTCTTTTTTTTGAATCTTTTTGACTGGTTGTTTTTCTCTCTTCTGTCCAGAGTGTCATCAGACCTGTGCCAGCTGCCGGGGCCCCGAGCCGAACCAGTGCACAGAGTGTGAGCGGGGCCTCGTCCTGGACCCCAGCTCCCTGCTCTGCGGGGTGACGGGTGAAGCACAGTGCCCCCTGGGGACGTACCTGGAGAACGACGGGTTCACCTGCTCCAGCTGCCGCCGGGGCTGTTTGTCCTGTGAGGGGCCCCAGATCTGCTCCACCTGCGCGGCCCCACACCACCTGCACAGTCAGTGCACCTGTCGTTTTATTTATTATTTATGTGTGTGTGTGTCTGTGTGTGCGTCTTTGTGCGTCTGTGTGTGTGTGTTCTGTGTGTGTGTCTGTGTGTGTCTTGTGTGTGTGTGTGTGTGTGTGTGTGTGTCTGTGTGTGTGTCTGTGTGTGTGTGTCTGTGTGTGTGTGTGTGTGTGTGTGTGTGTCTGTGTGTGTGTGTGTCTGTGTGTGTGTCTGTGTGTGTCTGTGTGTGTGTCTGTGTGTGTGTGTGTGTCTGTGTGTCTGTGTGTGTGTGTGTGTGTCGTGTGTGTGTGTGTCTGTGTGTGTGTGTGTGTGTGTCTGTGTGTGTGTGTGTGTGTGTCTGTGTGTGCGTCTGTGTGTGCGTCTGTGTGTGTGTCTGTGTGTGTGTGTGTGTGTCTGTGTGTGTGTCTGTGTGTGTGTGTGTGTCTGTGTGTGCATGCTGTGTGTGTGTGTGTGTCTGTGTGTGTCTGTGTGTGTGTCTGTGTGTGTGTGCACATCTGAGTGTGTCTGTGTGTGTGTGTGTGTCTGTGTGTGTGTGTGTCGTGTGTGTGTGTGTGTGTGTGTGTGTGTCTGTGTGTGTGTGTGTGTGTTGTGTGTGTGTCTGTATGTTGTGTGCATCTGTGTGTGTGTGTGTCTGTGTGTGTGTGTGTCTGTGTGTATGTGTCTGTGTGTGTGTCGTGTGTGTGTGTGTCTGTGTCTGTGTGTGTGTGTCTGTATGTTGTGTGCATCTGTGTGTGTGTGTTGTGTGTGTGTCTGTGTGTGTGTGCATCTGTGTGTATGTGTCTGTGTGTTGTGTGCATCTGTGTGTGTGTGTGTGTGTGTGTGTTGTGTGTGTGTGACTTAAAGTTCACAAGAGTCCATTTTGTGGACTATAAGACCTTTAAGTAAACGTTACATTATAAAGCAGACGTGTCGTGACCGTCTGTTTTCCTCTGTTCGTTTGTTCGTCTCTCAGATGGCACATGTGTCCGCTCCTGCCCCGCCGGCACATACAGCTCCACGCAGGACGCAGACGGGCACCAGCTGGGCTTCTGTCTGCCCTGCGACCCCGTCTGTGCCACCTGCTCCGGGGCGTCGGCCAAAGACTGTGTGACCTGCTCCCCGGGGCACCTGCGCCTCCTGCACCTCTGCGTCACCCACTGCCCCACAGGGTGAGACCGAAGACTGTTTATATACACATGTTCATAGATAAACGCCGCCAAACAGGAAGTGAGCATGGGCGCGCTTCCTGGATCCATCAACTCTGGCTCCAAGTTCCTTTTGTATTGAAAAATTTAAACCCCTCTTTGTGTAACTGCTGCTGCCAGACTCCTCGTTTTGGTCTTAAAATGTTCATATTAACCATCTCTTTCTATGATCTTGAGGTTTTATTTCGCGATTTTGATTTGTAAATCAATTCCTTTTTCTAATATGAACTCCAAACTCCAAATTTGTTCCATAACTGCTAGCCTGGGTGAGTCCACGTAGTCCACTTCTTTATAGTCTATGGGTAAAACACAAACAAAGCTTTAGATGGCATTAGGAAAGTAACAGTAATATATGAACCGTTGCATAACACTGTAATTTAAAGTGTCTTTGCCTGAATACAGTATAATGTTGCAGCTGCACATTGAAAAACATAGGGAATTATGAGCCACAGTCCTTTTCTAGACAAATTCTTAAAGGTTGTATAGAGGATTTTCCAAGGAACGAGAAATCCAGCGACTGTTTGTCCTTTTTCAAATGTTGCGCATGCGTGAAACCACCCCCCCTCCCCTACAGCTCCCTACGTAGAAACGCCTTCTCCCGCCTCCTCACTACGCCAGAAACAGGTTTGTTTACAGCCGGTGAGCTGCACATGACTTGTAAACAACTAACTACAGTGTTGGTTAGGCAAGGCGGAGAAGTGAGGAGCGGGGGGAGCGGGTGTGCGGACATTTCGTCGCGGACGAGAAGTGAGGAGCAGGGAGAAGAGCGGAGCAGGGAGAGAGGAGAGGAGAGAGGAGAGGGGAGCGGTGCGCGGAGATTCCGTGCCCGTAGAAGTGAGGAGAAGGGGGAAGAGCGGAACGGGCAGCGGGGACAGGAGTAGGAAAGGGGAGCAGAGAAGTTGCGCGGAGATTCAGTGCGAATGAACTAGCTACAACACGCAGCAGCAAGCGGACTCTTTCTTTGCCTTGAAAATTACGTTTTCAGACATAGGATATCGCTTTCGTGTCCTGAAAAACGTTTGACTAGCTCTTGGAAATAAAGTACGTTTTCATAATAAGCAGAAGTTACCTGTCCAGGAGTAATTTGGCGACCAATGCGTCAGTCTTTAGACCCTGCGTCTGCTTCAGTCGCGCCATCGCTGGAATGAATCTCCAAGAATCACCTTAGTTTGGCTTCGCTGCTTTTCCCCTTGTCTTCTTCTTTCAGCGACCTCAAAAACGGACTTTCTTTTGCGGCTAACTGCTCCTGGATTCTTGTCTGCCATTTGCAACAAACTTTGTGCGAACTGCGAGGAAGATATAGGTCAAAAAAAGCCGCTAAGAACTGTTGCGTTGGTGGAGTAAACAGCGTCTGTGCGTCTTGCGTCTGTGGACTGCGTGACAGGCGTACGTAAACCACGTACCGGCGGCGCAGGCAGGTCAGTTACGCTAGAAACGTAGGGAGTTTGATTGACAGCCTGTCAGCTCACAGATAACGAGGCAATGTCGTTATCTATTGGCAAATGTTTAGCTGGCCCCACCACGTCCAGAGTTGATGAATTTTTATTCTCTTTTTTTTGGTCATCATAATTACAGCTACTGCACCTCTATAATGCTATCATTGACAACTTGAAACAAAAAAAACAAAAAAAAAATCCTCCATACAACCTTAAGTCCATGTGATGTGGTGGCACATTACAGACAAGGCCCATGACAGACAATTAAATTTTTTTTTTTGGATTTGGTCAATTCGTCTCTGAGTATTTAAACTTGCAATGAAAGATATTTTAATTGAATCAACTTTCATCCATGGAATTATATGGGACATTGTAACTTCAAAGGTCGTTTTCTCAAAATGCATTTTCCTCCTTAAGGGCATAAGAATCAGCCCTTAGCACCTACATACTGTACACCAAACTTTACAGACCTTTGAGAAAACAAACAGAAGTACATCTTGATTAATAAATTAGGCTTAGAATTATATAAGTTAAATTTTCAGTGAGATCTAGTTTAATGAAATACTACATAAGATCCAAGACCACATCTGTCTGATCTAATCTGACAACAAAAATTTCAACCTGCCTCTTTATGTTTCTGTTTTGTCCCAAACACATATTGGACATTTTTACACATAAAATGCTTTATTAAGATTTTGTCTTACATTTATGTGAGTAAAATACAGGAGAAGTTTCATATCTCTAAATGTATATTGTTCGTGTTCATCTGCAGTGTCACGGGTTATTAAAAAAAAGTAAAAGAAACACTCAATTTGTTAGTGTTGGTAAGAGGAAACTCTGAGGAGGATGAAGGTTCTGCTGCTGTGAAACAACAAATTTGCTGAATATATCATCGCTTTTACATGAATCAAGCAGAAAATGAGCTCTTACAACAGAACCCTCCCTCCTTCCTGCTGTGTAACTGTGTAACTGTGTAAACGTGTGTGTGCAGGTTTTACAGAGGCGGCTCCGAGTGTAAGAAGTGCCATCACTCGTGCGTCATGTGCTCAGGCCCCGGTCCAGACTCCTGTAGAGCCTGTGCGCCCCCCCTGCTGGAGATACAAGGAACTAACCTGTGTGTGGAGCACTGCCCCCAGCGCTTCTACCAGAGCGGGCATCTGTGCCGGCAGTGCCACATCAGCTGCCAGACGTGCTCAGGTACAAACGCTCACAAACATCTATCAGATTTATAATGAGGGAAAAATATATAGTTTTGAATAGTTGGAAGCCAGTTAGAAGGTTTGTAACTTTTCTGGTTGAGTAAGAATGCATGTTTTTCTCATAGAAGGTATAAAGAAGTGGACTAAGTTACCCATAGTTTCAGTTCAGTGTATTTATTTATTTAGTTTAGTACGGCCCTCTCCAGGTGGGTGGAGAGTTCCTGCCTCAAGTGGAGGAGTTCAAGTATCTCGGGGTCTTGATGAGTGAGGGGAGGACGGAGCGTGAGATTGACAGTTGGACAGGTGCAGCGTCGGCAGTGATGCGGTCGCTGTATCGGACCAATGTGGTGAAGAGGAGCTGAGCCGAAAGGCAAAGCTCTCGATTTACCATCAGTCTTCGTTCCTCTCCTCAGCTCTGGTCATGAGCTCTGGGTAATGACCGAAAGGACGAGATCACGGATACAAGCGCTCGAAATGAGTTTCCTCCACAGGGTGGCTGAGCGCTCGCTTAGAGATAGAGTGAGGAGCTCAGTCACGTGAGAGGAGCTCGGAGTAGAGCCGCTGCTCCTCCACGTCGAGAGGAGCAGCTGAGGGGAGGACATCTGTTCTGATGCCTCCTGGGCGTCTCCCTCGAGAGGTGTTCCGGGCATGTCCCACTGGGAGGAGGCCCCAGGGAAGACCCAGGACACGCTGGAGGGACTATGTCTCTGGGCTTGCCTGGGAACACCTCGGGGTCCCCGCGGAGGAGCTAGAGGAAGTGTATTGGGTGAAGGGAGTCTTGGGGTCCCTGCTTAGACTGCTGCCCCCATGACCAAGCCCTGAAAAAACGGCTTTTAACCCAACAAACCTGTACACATGAATCTGCCCTATATGAATACAGCAACACTGTAAATATGCGAATAGTGAAGAAATTTTACTTACTGATTTAATGGATGATTGCATTAATCTACATTGTACTTTATTGGCATGTGCCATTTATGGCACTGACCTGTCCAGGGACTGAAGGTGGAAAAGTGATTTTGTTATAACCTGCACAATGATGTGACCTCTTTGTGTTGGTCAGTGTTTTATTGCATTGTCTCTGATAAATAAACAACTAAACTAAACTAAAAGACTTCATAAACGTGTTTGTGTGTTTTCAGACTCGTCTCCTCAGTCCTGTCTCTCCTGTGACGATGGAAACACTCTGAAGGACGACGTCTGCTTCCCTCGCTGTCAAGAGGGGACTTACTCTGAACAGGTGAGGGACTAAACTAAACTTTCCCAGGGGTGTGACGCTAACTGTGGGCACTGCTCTGTCTGAGGCTTGTTAGACTTTAATCTGAGCTGAAACTACAACAGAGGAGCTGATCTGTGATGTTAAACAAGTCTCTCATATTTATCATTACAGTCACAAGCTCATTAGCATTAACAGTTTTTCAGTTAGTCACTCTCACCTTTTTGATGAAAATCAATCAAATTTTCTTGACTTTTCACACGATCTTGCAGCGTTTATGACAGTGTTTGCTAATGTGTGCTTTGTCACCATGGAAACTATTGAACGTTCCACCATAGAAACACATGTGATCAGATTTTCTAAATCAAAAACTGGGACTCCCTCGGTTTGTGGTGGTCGGTAATAATAAAATTGTGAAACAAGGAAAATTGTTCTGCATTCGGCTCATTCATGACAAACGTGAGTCAGTATAGTCACATTTTCTCTGTGTTTTGGTCGTTTTTAAGCAGCTTTTCTGTATTTTACCTAAAAAAATGACGATTTATGTCTCTCTTTACTGTTGGCAGGGATCAAATTGGTCAAACATAGGGACTCCTGGGACATTTCTTGTATAAACCTGGGACAAATCACTGGTTTTGTATAAATCTGCTGGGACAGTAGTCAGACTGGCGCCACCTAGTGCCTCCAGTCAATTTCATTTCTCTACTGCGACTAGGTCAAGAATCAGAATACACTAGATGGTTCACAAAAACCCCAGAATTGCGAGTTTGGGCACCAGCCAATCAGCAAAGAGCCATATATTCTGTGTTGGCAACAATTCCCGAGATCGAGGATTTAAAGCCGGAACAAGAGAATGTTTGGTGAATTTTATCAAGGGGAAAAACGTTATTGTTCTTCTTCCTACAGGATTTTGTGCATTACATACGTCACGACCAAATAACAGCGATTGGTTAAATAAAAAAAGTACCCGCCTACTGTCGAGTGAACGAATCCTAATGCTGCGAGGTCAGACGGTTTCCACAAAGTGAAACCGGCTTATGAATCAGGCTACTGGGACAAGGGGACACAGGCTCAAAACTGGGACTGTCCCGGGTAAACATGGACGTCTGGACACCCTAATGTAGAACACCTCCAGCTTTATGTCACTGCAAAGTATCAGTAGACCCATCAAAAGTGGAAAAAAAGTGGAAAATGTGAATTATCCTCAGAATATTACAAAAAAGTAATTGGAAAAAGCACTCAAAATGTTGCGTAATAGTTTAACAGAAAGTTGAAGCCCATAGAAAATATCGATGTACACAGTGTTGGGGAGTAACAGATTACATGTACCGGAGTTATGTAATCAGAGTACAAATTATGAGTAACTGTATTCAGTTACAGTTACTGTTTCAGTGAGTGGTAATTGGATTACAGTTACTTTGTTGAAATAAATGGATTACACAGAGGGATTTTCCTGTTTTCACATTTTGGGCTGTATCCCTTTATTTATTTTATTTTTTTTCTTTTTTTTCAGTAATTCCACTCATTGCTGTAAACTAAACCAGGTCTAAACTAGATCTAAACCAGGTCTAAACCAGGACTAAAACCAGGTCTAAACTAAATCTAAACTAGACCTAAACCAGGTCTAAACCAGGACTAAAATCAGGTGTAAACTAGATCTAAACTAGACCTAAACCAGGTCTAAACCAGGACTAAATCAGGATTAAAACCAGGTCTAAACTAAATCTAAACTCGATCTCAAACAGGTCTAAAACCAGAACTAAACCAGGTCTAAACCAGGACTAAAATCAGGTCTAAACTAGATCTAAACTAGACCTAAACCAGGTCTAAAACAGGTCTAAAACCAGGAATAAACCAGGATTTAACAGGACTAAATCCTGCTGTGTGGACGTGTTTCTTCTTCTATCAATAATATTTTTAATTTGGTTCAGTAAAGTCTGGACTTTTTCATTTTCTTTTAGCAGATAAAACATCTTATGTTACGATTTCCTCGTCTTTGCTTCTCTACAGCAAATCAAGTAATCCAAAGTATTCAGATTACATTACTCACCTTAAGTAACTTAATGGATTACGTTACAAACTACATTTTGGTGTATGTAATCTGTAATCTGTAGGGGAATATATTTTAAAAGTCACCTTCCCAACGCTGGATGTACAGAACAATCAGAAGCAGCTCTTATCTGTGAGGTGTGTGTGTGTGTAAAAGGAGGGACCAGCACAGTTACAGCACTTTGTTTATGACACAGAAGTGACTCTTGTGAGCTTTAAGTCATGTTATAATGTTGTTACCTCCTCAAAAAACATAGAAACAGACCTGGAGTTGTGTTTTGTGACTGAGCGTTTTGTATTTGAGCAAAGAACATGTGAAAGAAACGAAACAAAACACAACTCCAGGTGTGTTTGTGATGAGAAAACGACATTATTTTCTGATTTTGGATGTTCTGGAGTAATGTGTTTTGTGTTTGGTGTTTTCCGCAGGAGCGCTGTGAGCCCTGTGACCCCTCCTGCCGTCACTGCTTTGGCCCCGGAGCTCAGCGCTGTGTGAGTTGCCATGACGACGCCGGTCTGCACGCCGTGGAGAGCCGCTGCGCCCCCTGCTGCTCGAGCCACAGAAACACGACCGGCTGCTGTGTGTGTGACATCCGCACAGGTACGACACACAAACACAGATAATAACAATAAAAGCACATGTAGGTCTGTCAAACTTGATTTAAAGATACTAGAGGCGCTGGGGAGCACTACTCAGAGTTTTAATATTTGTTTTTCTTAACTGTTATAAGTTTTTATGCACAGTTAAATTGCATTCTAATGTAGTCATGATTTAAAGGTGTTCTGTGTCCTGAATTCTACACTTTATCAATCTGACTGAAGCGTCACAACAGCAGAACGAGCTGAAAAATCAACACACAGTAGAGCAGACATGTCAAACTCAGGCCTGAGGTCCAAATTTGGCCCGCGATATAATTATATTTGTCCCACGAGATCATGTCAAATCTGTATTAGGAGCTGCCCACCGGCTACAGATCGACTACAGAGACATTATTTATTTAAAATGTTGTTATTATGTTATATTATTCTTGTTCTGAATTCATTGTTTAAGCAAAACTATTATTAAACATTTATTTTAATACAAGGTTTAACATTACATATCTTGAAAGAAGAGAAAACATGCAGATGTTGTTGAAATAAATAGTCCCAGTTTTTAATTTCGGCCTCTGTGAGTTTGAGTTTGCAGTGGAGTGTGGATCGGGACAAATTTTTCGGTCCGAGCCCGGCCCACGTCTGACAGAACAATGATCGAATCCGATCTGAGCTTCACACAATTAAAATCACACTATTATCATAGGCCTAATGACGCACGTAGGATATTGTTTGTGTGGCCTCAGACGGACACACAAACACAAAATTCAAACTTGTGATATAACAAAAATAATGGGAAGACTTCATTACTTACCTCACGTAAAGCGTCAAATTTAAAGTGCAGCATCTCATCACACATCCATAGAAACTGTCCTCCACAAATAATCACATCCAGTCCACAAAACTGCACTGTGAATCCAGTGTGAAGCATTAAAAGGCAAGAGTATTTCCTCACATGCGGTCATACTGACTTGTCAAAGCCTGATCCCATCAGATCTCAAAAGTTCAGCAGCGTTAGGTCTGGTCTGGACTTGGATGGAGACACTGGGAAAATCAGGAGCCACGTCCATGTTTGGACAACTTCTGTAAACACAGAGACGCTCGCTGTGGTTGACGTCGTCGTGTCTCCAGTGTCACATGTGGGACACTTTTGGGCCATTTACTTCACACTGGAGTCACATACAAGTCACATTTAATTGTAAATGTGAACGACCTCGCAAAAACATCGGATTTCACAAAAAAAATCGGAATTGAGCGTTAAGCCCTGCAGTCTGAACGTAGACTAAGCGACTCTTTAAAAGTCTTATACAGTGCTTTTTTGGACACTCAAAGTCCATTGTATTATTATTAATGAGCTTCGACTCTGTGGACTCTGTTTGTGCAGCTCTGTGTGTGGAGGCTCCTGCGCCCAGACGAGGATCAGACCAGGACACCGACCTGAGCTCCGCCTCCAGAGTCCTGAAGCACACGTCCGCCGCTATGCCCCTCGTCCTGCTGCTCGCTCTGGGCGTGGTCTGCGGAGGGGTGGTCCTGTACCGCGCCCGTTCCAAGAGGACGATGTGCTGGAAGCGGAACTACGAGAGGCTGAGCGGCAGCGCCACGGAGGCCATGCCCCACGGCGTCCCGGAGCCCGACAGCTGCGACGACGTGGACGTGGTCTACACCAGCAAAGGCGGATGTGTGTACAGGAGATACAGCTTCAGCTACGAGCCAGAACCATAGACTCTGATGATAGTTTAAGGTCCGATATTACACAAAACTGACTCTTGTGAGCTTCAAGCCATGAAAAACCTCCTCAACAACAGACCTGGAGCTGTGTTTTGTTTCATTCACACGTTTGAGTACCGTATTTTCCACACTATTACTCGCTCTGGATTATAAGACACACTGTCATTAAATGGTCTATTTTCAAACATTTTTCACAAATTAACCACACCAGACTTGTAAAGGAAACCCAACAGTGTGATGGGTGAGTGGTTTTGTTTGTTTGTTCGTTCACGGTGACTCTGGGCTTTGTTCAGTTGTGGCGTGTAGGGAGGGTGTGTCTGGGACCAACGGATTGTCGGCGTGTTCGCAGTGACTCAGTTGTTCAGTCGTGTCTAGAAGCGGCACGTCGCGCTCGATTTTTCGGTTCGTTCCTCTGTTCCGTTCCTCGTCGGCGTGGAGTGATGAGTGTGTCTGTGGGTGTGTTTCTCTGTGCGGTCGCTGTCTGCTCCGTGTGTGTTTGTGTGTTCTGAGGGTGGTGTGGCTTTGTAGTTTACTGAAGTTGTGCTGGGACACCTGAGTGGATTGTGGCGTGCGGTTGTTTTTTGATGGAGTTAAAGGCTTAAGAGCCCGTCTAATCGAACAGAAAATACGGTACCGTAATTTCTAGGGCTGTAACAATAACCAAAATATCGTGATATCGTATCGTCAAAGTTCTCACAATAATATCGTGGACCATCACAATATATCGAATTACAAATGTCTTTGCTTAAATGAAGAGTTATGGTGCAGAAATAGATAAAAAATGACAGAGGGAACTACATAGACCATGATCCTTTGCTCCTTTTCAGGCGTCCACACAGTGCCAGGTCAGATCTGTATACAGATGAATTCGTCGGAGCTGGAGGCACCAGATCGTTCCGTCTCTGGAGCCGTTTTCAGTCGGATTAGTGTGAACGAACGAGGGGTGTCAAATTATCGTGTTAATTGTGATTAATTAATTACAGTCATATTTAGTGCGTTATGTTTTTTAATTGCGTTAATCTTATTTTTAATCTCTAACTTTACTGTTTCTGTATGCGAGTTGTCTTATTATAAAATCTGTTTTAATGTGTTGTTAGGACAGTTAGTGCAGTCCTGCTCCGCTCGCTCCCGCAAAGAATTGTAATTTTCATTCCCGTTCTCGCCGCATCTGCGATAAACCTGCACATGTCTGATCTGAAAACATCGCGACACAGACACAGAACAGACTCACCATCAGCAGAACACCCCTCTGTCACAGAGAGAACACTCATATTCCACTGAGTCGTGTCCTTTAGTCCGACAGAAGCTGAACCACATCAGCACAAGAGCGTTTTTTTTTTCTCCTTAGTTTATGCAAATTAGCCATGTGGTTTTAAGTTTTGTTTCTGTGAGACTTGCGCAAATCTGCATTAAACACATTATAATGTCAAACAGGCTGATGTGGCTCTAGAGCACAGGTGTCAAACATACGGCCCGGGGGCCAGATCCTGCCCTCCAAGACCTTTAATGTGGCCCTTGGCTGATTTTCTACTAAAATATTTTAATTCTATTTTCTATTAAAATCTTGTTAATTTTCTGTGGTGTTTATCACAGCAGCGTCTCCAGCGTCTCTGTACGTGGCCCCTCCCACCAGAGCAGCACAAATGAAGACTTGTCTCTTTCCAAACGCTCTTAAAGGACGATCGTTTTGACTGTTGACTGTGACACCCTCATCAGAAAAATGTCCAACATGAAAAAAGTGGAGCCGAGTGCAGGATTTTACAAAAAAATGGACTTCATCAATTAAAAAAGATTTCTGTAATAGATTTGTGTTTCTCTGCACAACTATTTGAACTTATTGTTATTTTTGTGGTTTATATGACATGAGTTTTCTGATCCGGACACTTTGGGATCAAAGTCGGTTGGATACGACCCCCGGAACCAAAATGAGTTTGACACTCCTGATCTAGAGTGTTTATGTTTATATGTTGTAAAGTTGAGTTTATTTATGCAGATTAGTAACAGTAATAATGATGATGATACTTGTATAAAAACGTTAATGATAGTATGAAAATAATATAATAATGAATTCAAATGAAAATACCTCAAGTTGAAGCTTTTCTCAGCACTTTTTAGGTGAGATTAAAAAAGAGATAAATTAGATAAATTCATTACAGATCATAATTAATTAATCTCTAAATGTTTTAATCGCTTGACAGCACTAGAACGAACCCTGCATCCACAACCAAAACAACTCAAATATGTACTAGTATGGACGGTAGGGGTGTGCAAAAATATCGGAATATCAATATATCGTATCGTGATGATACAGTATCGATATCGTGGGCTACTGTATCGATATTTCACCAAGAGTATTTTTACGTGTGTTTTACTAAATTATTTTGTTACAGAGCTGCAGTTTTGTTGCTTGTGGAGTGAAAGGAAACTCATTTATGCGACACATTCGACATTTTCACAGTTTTGAGGATTAAAATGTTTGTGTTTCAGATGAACTTTGCACAAGAAGTGGTTTAACAAACACTTGAAGTATCACGTCCATGATTTAGCCTATATTTTTTATTGAACAGTATCGAATCTATTTGAAATATATCATATCGAATCGAAAGTGCACTGTATCGAGATATGTATCGTATGTATCGTATCGGCAACTCCTTAATGACACCCAGCCCTAATGGACGGGGCCACAGTGGAGCACTTCTTGTCCACATGACATCACAAGGTGGAACAGAGTGTTTTCTGTTTGAGAGAAGAACTCACAACACTCCTAAATGTGCAGGTTTGTGCGTTAAACACGTGTGAATGAAACAAAACACAAGTCCAGGTCTGTTTGTGATGAGAAAACAACATTAGAACACATCAGAAAATAGTGAAATATTTAAAAAACTTTCTCCGTCTTGGGACACTGCAGACGCCTTCATCACCTTCGCCACGGATGGACCTCCTCAAACTGACAGCTTTTTTATTCACCAGGACAGACCTTTTGTTTTGTTTTTTTTGTTTTTTTACCCTTGTCCTGTTTAATTTAGACACAAACACATTTTTGATCATTATTTTAGTGCAGCAATAGATTACGGCGTCTTACATTTTGCCACAATTTGTTAAACCAGTGAAGATGTTACCTGGATTTAAACATGTTTTCTGGAAAAATCAAAAACAGCCATTCCTAAACTAGTGTGTTAGTCGAGGGACATTTGTTTGTACGTTTTGCAGAAGGTACAGTTTCTTATATGTAGCAATAGAGTTCATTTCATATAATAAGTATTTGTGTAGATGTAATCAGACAAAATGATGTGCAAATTCTGGCATAAAAAGTAAAAGTATTTATATATTTAAAAATGCAATTGTTCAAATCATGATGTCAACAATGGAAGTGTGACTGAACCTTTTGCTAGAGTTTGATGAGTGTTGTTGTAGTGAGCGGCTCTTTAAATCTACAGACGACACTGGTCTTAAACGATGCTCAAAATGGTCTCGGAGAAAGACACGACACTTTACTGACTGATCTTTTTGGGATTTTCTTTCTTCTAGGGTGGATCTGAAACTGAATTGAGGCCTAAACACTCATTATAATGTGACAAAAGGAGAATTACAGTACAATAAATGTATTTTGTCTGTTCTTATTTTCTAGTTTCGGAGCAGTTCTGGATCCAAATCAGTCCAGAAACTGCACCGGTTTGATTACAGAGACATTTTAGGTTCATGTGTAGCTTCATGTAGTATTATTACTGTAGTAGCATTTCTCTCAGCACGGATTTTTACTGTTATAAATTACTTTTGATGGTAATTTTAAGAATGTACTGAATTAAATAAGCCTCATTGTTGAGTTTGTCGTCTGTAACTGTTAAACGTAAATGTTCCAACTTTACTCTCACGTAATATTGTTTTGATACTAACATTTTATAAAGTTGAAAAGCTGAGGCACTCCAAAAGTATGTAAAAGAAGAAAGAGATCTGCACTACAGTTATTTTGAAGCTTCCAAATTTATTTTAATGACACCACAATGTGAGGTTTCGGGTCAAGTTCTTCTCCAGACACGTTATGAAGTCATGAGGTGGTGTCATTCAAATAAAAATTTGGGAGCGTCCAAAAAACTGCAGTGAGGATCTCCTCTTTGGCATAATTTTTGGTTTTGGACCCAGCTCGCAGCTTTAATGGATGTACATGTCTCCATCTAGTCTGATTCATCAGCTGGTTTCACTCGCAGCATTAGAATTCGTTCACGTGACGGTAGGTGGGTACTTTTTTTAATTTAACCATTCACTGCTATTTGGTCCCGTAAGAAGAAGGGCATAAAATTCACCAAACATTCTCTTTGTTCCGGCTTTAAAGCCTCGATCTCAGGAATCGTTGCCAACACAGAATGTCTGTCTTCGTCTACATCCATCTCGACGCTTTGTTTACTGTTGTGCTGTTCCACAAAAGGGACACAAACAGACGCCACCAGTTTGACGTCATGACTTCACAGCTCACAGCTGATTGGTCGGTGCTCGGTCTACAACTTCTGCGGTTCTTGCAAACCGTCTAGTGTATTCTGATTCCTGATCTAGTCGCTGGGAGAGAAATTAAATTGAGCAGAGGCACTAGGTGGCTCCATCTACCAGTATTCAAAAAGTACAAAAAAATAAAATAAAATTACCATGTGGCAGATAAAGTTAAAATCACACCAGTGTCCTGATGGATTGATTGATTGCATTTATATAGCACCTTTCAAGATCCCCAAAGAGATTTACAGTTCATTATTCAGTCACTCTACACTCAGTGGTGGTAAACTACTATTGTAGCCACAGCTGCCCTGGGGCAGACTGACAAAAGCGAGGCTGCCAATCTGCGCCATCGGCCCCTCCAACCACCACCACCAACACTCACATACCACTTTCATACTGATGGAGGGTGAAGGGCTGAAACACGTTGACGTGATTTTATCTGCCATGTGGTAATAAAGGCTTTTAATTTTTTTTAGTGCCTCTGCTTTTTTTTGTATTTGACACTGGTCCCTCACTGAAGAGCAACAAAAGGGCAATCACATCCAAGAAACACTCCTGCCCCTTAAAGTTTTGCTAAAATATGACATTATGACTTCATTTGGTCTGGCTGGTTGGTTCGGCTGGACTCACTGCTCCTGACAGGTCATGAAGAGCAAGTTTCCCCATTTGGACACTAGATGCCACTTCGCAAACTACACTCAAACTACTCTGTCTATTGAATTACACAACTACTACAAACCGCAATTTAACCAGAACTGAAGAAGCTGGAACCTGAACGACCGAAGGATTACACACACTTTTGTATATAGTTAAAAGTTTTCTCTCAATATCTGTAAGCAACTGAAATGTCTTCATTAAACTGCTGGACTATGGGGAAATATTCTTATAATGTGCAGATACTTTCAGCTGTTATGCTGCCATCTTATGGACAAAGAGGTGTAGAACTGGTTTTAATTCAGACAAATTCAGAGAGCATTGGTTGAAAGTTTCTCCGTGCATGCACAAATGTGTCAAGGGATCATCTTTGATTTATTTTATAATGGTTCCTGATCACAAACAGAGTTGTGTTTTGTTTCATTTAACACACAAACCTGCAGATGTATACTGAGTTCTTCTCTCTGCGCTCCACTGTATTTTTAAACTCTATACACCTTCACTAGAATCATCTGGATAATTTCAGCTTTGCAGTTGACAATCTCTACTAAACTAAAGGTAAAAGAAGGTGTTGACTTGACAACTACAGCTCAAAGTCCTCTGTTCCACCTTGTGATGTCATGAAGCAGTAGACAGACTAATAATAAAGAGTTTCTCAAACATGTGTGAATAAAATGGTACTGTGGTCCAAAACAAGAAAAATATATCTGACGAAGGCTTTTTTTTTTGCCGAAACATCATTTAAAAATTTGGACATGGATGAATGAGCTATGCAATTTTTTCACTTTTCTTTTACTGTTCGTTGCATTTGCATCTCTACAAGAACAATGGTGTGTTTTCTGTTTCATTTAATGGAACAAAACACAACTCCAGGTCTGTTTTTGAAGAGGTAACAACATTATAACACGACTTAAAGCTCATGAGAGTCAATTTGAGAAGTCATTTTCCCAAATTTATTTTACTACAAAAAAACAAAAAAAAACTGAACAAAATTTAAAATGTAGCTGTTAACTTTAAAACTACGGCTTCATGACATCACAAGGTGGCACAGAGAATTTTAAATAAAGGATTACTCAAACTCCAGGTCTGTTTTTGAGCAGGTAATAACATTCTAACATGACTAAAATCTCACACGACTCAATTTTGCGTCATATAGAACCTTTAATTGATCTTAATCTTTCAAAAACAGCACAGGACTCAAGGATTGTGTGAAAGAAAGACTTTACTTGAATAAAAGCTCATGGAGTCGTGTCTTCAAGTGTCCAGTAGGGGTCCCCCTCCCTCCCCCGACAGGACCCGGCCGTGCACAGTGAGAAAAAGCTGCTCCATCTGTGTCTCAGTCGATCAGTTGTTTTTCAATATAAAACCAAAAATAAGAACATGGAAAAAAAAAAAAAAAAATGTTTTTTTCATTATTTGTCTCCAAAACCGGATTTTGCACCGCATATGGACTGAACCAGGTTCGGGACAAGACCGGGACCAGACTGAGACTGAGACCAGACCCGGACCAGGCCGAGACTGAGACCAAGACCAGACCCGGACCAGGCCGAGACTGAAACCGAGACCAAGACCAGACCCGGACCAGGCCGAGACTGAAACCAAGACTGAGACCAGGCCGGGACCAGACCGGAACTGAGACCAAACCGGGACCGGACTGAAACTGAGTCCGCTCTGGTCCCGGTCTCGGTCTCCGTCCCGATCTCGTCTCCGTCCCGATCTCGTCCCGTCTCCGTCCCCGTCCCGTCCCGGTCTCCGTCCCGGTCTCCGTCCCGGTCCGGTCCCCGTCCCCGTCTCCGTCCCGTCCCCGTCCCGGTCCCGTCCCCGTCTCCGTCCGGTCCCCGTCTCCGTCCCGGTCCCCGTCTCCGTCCCCGTCCCGTCTCCGTCCCGGTCCCGTCTCCGTCCCGTCTCCGTCCCGTCTCCGTCCGGTCCTCCGTCCCGTCCCTCCGTCCCGGTCTCCGTCCCGGTCTCCGTCCCGGTCCCCGTCTCCGTCCCGTCCCCGTCCCAGTCTCCGTCCCGGCCCCCGTCTCGGTCCCGGTCTCCGTCCCCGTCTCAGTCCTGGTTCAGTTCGACATCGCAGTCACTGAAGTCACGTAAACAGGAAACGGCCGTTATCCGTTTTTTCCATTTTCCATTTAAACACAAAACCAAAAACTGAAAAAAACAAATCAATATCTGTTTTTTTCATTTTGGTTTTGGAGACAAATAATGAAGAAAATTGTTGTTTTTTTCAATTTCTTATTTTTGGTTTTATATTGAAAAACGACTGAACGAATGACACACGGACTCTGCTCCATGCAACTTCTACATGAACGTCAACGAGTCCAAAAAACGGTTTAAAATCTGAGCAATCGTAAAATATATATTAAATCTCCTTCTAGGTCACCTTTTGTAGATAAATAAACATTTATAAAGCAGAACATGCATCCACCAGTAACAGCAGTGTCTTGAAGAAAGTGTAACATGAAAGGAAGGAAATATTAAACATGATTCCAGCAGAAAAAAAGAGAAGTTTGTAGAGACAGAGGTAACAGACAGTGTCCGGTCTTTTATTAAAACAGTCCAGGGGTGATTCTTCATGTAGTCGTCCTCAGCGCGAACCATAAACTGTATAAAGAAGTGGACTAAGGGAGTGTGACGTCGTCCACAGTGGCTCCAGTCAAACGAAGCTCATCGAGGCTACAAATTATGGGGCGGAATTTCAAATTTCTGGACAAAATCGCGAATTAAAAACACCAGAGCGGGTAAATACGAACATTTAAGACCGAAAACGAGGAGCCTGACAGCAGCAGTTACACAAAACGGTGACGGTTTCTCGATACGAAGTGAATTGAAGGCGGGAGTCGACGGATCGGAAAGTGCTGCTGCGTCCACGCTCGCTTCCTATTTGGAACGGGACGGTCGGGAGGTTAGCCGTGTCCGTTTATATACACAGTCCACGTCGTAAACAAAAAGGCTCACTCGGGAACCGCAGCAGCCGCCACCTCCACTTTGCCGTGCATCTCCTGGTCGACTCTGAAGAGACAAAAACACTATGATTACCACAGGAAACTCAAGTGTGTGGAGTGTGCTCAGTGAAAAAAGGCTCGTATTATTCTATTTTCAGATCGGTGTTATTATGTTGTTTCCTCATCACAAACAGAGCTGGAGTTGGGTTTAGTTTCATTCACACGTTAAACACACTTCCCTTAAAAACACTCTAGATTTATGGCTCGTTCAGACTGGGGCGTCGAGGTGTTCAGTTTATATGCAAAGTCTATGTCAAACATGTCAAACTCAGGCCCGGGAAGCCAAATTTGGCCCACGATATAATTATATTTGGCCCATGAGATCAAATCAAAATCAAAAATCTGTATTAGAGCTGCCTGCCAGCTACAGATCGACTATAGAGACATTATTTATTTAAAATTTAATCAATCAATCAATCAATCAATCATTATTTCATATTCTGCTTGTTCTGGATTCAATGTTTAGGCAAAACTATTATTAAACATTTATTTTAATAAGAAAATTACATATAAACTAAAAAAAAGAAAAAATTAATTATAAAATAAAATAAAAATAAAACAATAAAAAATTTTATAAGATACATAAAAAAAAAAAAATATTGAAATAAAATAAAAATAATATAATTACATATTAATTATAAAATAAAATAAACAATAAAAACAAAAATAAAATTAATTAATTTTTTTAAAATAAAAATTTTAAATTAAATAATGACATATTAATTATATTACATATAATTAAATAATTGCATATAAAATAAGATTACATATCTCGAAAGAAGAGAAAACATGCAAATGTTGTTGAGATTTTTCAGTAAAATTTGTTTGGCCCACGACTTAGTCCCAGTTTTTTATTTCGTCCCTCTGTGAATTTGAGTTTGACACTCCTGGTCTATGTGGAAGCACATCTAACGCGTCCTGCGTTTTTGCGGTGCATCTTCGGGCGTCAGCGCGGCTCGAATCTAGCGTCGCCGCATCTTGAGTGTTCTGGCGTCGATGCTCTAGACACGTGCCCAGGGCATCGGCATCAGAAGTCGAAAATGCTGAAAGAGAAAGACCCGAGAACCGAAGGGGGGAGCCACAAATATTAGTGGAGTATAAATATATACGCCGAGCCGCCAGGAGTACACTGGGACCACATCAGGACTGGACCAGGACTAAACTAGCACATTTTGACACAGAAAACCATTAACCAGAAGTTCCGCAAACCTAAAGCAGGACACTTCCGTCTGTTGTGAAAAAGCTCTATAACAAGGACTAAAATAATAATGTTAAAAACGTAATAAACTTCTAAATAAGTAGCAATAAATCAATTAGACAAAAACGCCCCAAAAAACATGGGTAAAAACATGAGTATTTAACTGGACAGATAATGCAAATAAAAATAAAATAAAAACTTAAAGCGCAAACTGGAATAACTTAAAAAGGTAGAGATTTTTAGGAAATTTTCAGGAGCTGCTGTGACCCTGCGTCCACTCTCTCAGGCGCTCAGGGTGTGAATGAATGACTGAAGGAATGAATGAGTGATTTCAGCTCTTGAATTACCAATTTCTACTAAACTAAAAGGTAAATGTAGAGTTTAACTTGAAAACTACCATTTCCTGACATCACAAGGTGGAGCAGGATGACTCAAAACATGTGTGAATGAAACAAAACACAACTCCAGGTTTGTTTTTGACGAGGTAACAACATTATAACAAAACAAAAAAAGTCAATTTAGCATAACACAGGACCTTTATGTGACGAGAACAAACAGCACTTTTAATAATCTTTTGGTCGGCCATGCCATATTACAAAAAACAGTATTGATCCTCAAGGGAAATTAACTGAACTTAAGCTGTCCAAATTTGAAATAATACTAATAAAATAATAATAAATGGAAATACTGGATCTAATTTCATCATAATTTCACTCATTGCAAATGTGCTTCAAACAACTCCAGGCAATTTAAGAACAGCTCAAAGTTAGTATTTCTAAAACATTACTTGACACTCGTATTGATACTTCGCAGTGACGTCGCTCTGGGGGTGTTCTACATGTATCTCTACCGACAGAATGTTCAGCAAAAACTCAAAATGTTTTTAGATCGTCTGAAAACTCAAGAAAAAGTACAAAACTGGAACTACGAGTGTTAAACAAGTCTCTCTCTCTCTCTCTTACAAATAAATCAGCTCTTTTTGGTCAGATTATGTTAAAATAAATAAAATAAAACTCAGATTAAAGTCTTAAAGCGTCAGACAGAGTCACACCCCCAGGGAATTATCTAAAAAAAAAAAAAAAAAGACATCATCTGCAAAGTATCGATCACTGACTTTTAAGCATTCAACGTGACAAAAACCCGACGTTAAGAAGCTTCGTGTAAAACTACAACGTCCAGAGTGAGGCCGTTAGAGAGGTGCATTGTGGGTAGTGTAGGCAGCAGGCCGTGAGTCAAACGTGCAGTGAAGTTACTCTACATCAGCGCAGCCACCACACACCAGGGACCCGTGAACGTGTTACAGTTTGACTAAAGGATTTTAAATTATGACAAAGAAGAATGTTTTTTTTTGTGGTAATAGACGTTTTTCACAACGGCCGGAAGTTGCAGCGATGTCGGGTAAAAGTCACTTCCGGTTAATGCTTTTCTGTGGTAAAATGTGTGTGTAAGTGTGTGTCGTATTCTCCAGCGGCTTCATAAATCTGCCCCATCACCAAATCTTCAACCAACAAGATCCTACGGAAGCCGAGAGGGGTCACAACAAACGCAAACGCCGCAACAAATACAAACGCGACAACAAGACAAAAAGCCACAACACGCCAAAAAAAGCCACAACGGAAATGACCGCGGGACTCTATTTTAATGCAAACGCCACAACACAAACGCAAACGCCGCAACACATTAAAAAGCCACAACACCATAAAAAGCCACAACACATTAAAAAGCCACAAAGGAAGTGACCGCGGGACTCTATTTTCCGACGGACCGATCAAGCGGCAAATGAAGAAGAAGAACTACAACGTGAAAAGTAAAGGAACGGAGAAGTTGGAAACGTAAGTAAAAGTAATTTATAGTTTTATCGTTATTCGTTTCACGTTGTAGTTGTTCTTCTTCACTTGCCGCTTGATCGGTCCGTCGGAAAATAGAGTCGGTCACTTCCGTTGTGGCTTTTTGATGTGTTGTGGCTTTTTAATGTGTTGTGGCGTTTGCATTAAAATAGAGTCCCGCGGTCATTTCCGTTGTGGCTTTTTGTTGTGTTGTCGCATTTGTATTTGTTGCGGCGTTTGCGTTTGTTGTGACCCCTCTCGGCTTCCGTAAGATCCACAAAGGATAAACATTCTAACATGAAGAATTTATCCACAACTATCAAGGGAAGAAAGACGAAAACTTAAAGGAAACAACAACGACATGTCTCGCATTTGAACCGCACAAATCTACCATCGATGCAAATATGATCTGTGTACCGTTCGTTCTTTTGAATTTCAATTAAGAACGAAAAACAATATAACGGGAAAACACTTTGAAAAAATCACGATGGCTGTTTTTTGATTGGTGTTTATGTGAAATAAACTTTAGACTTACACAAACTTTACTGATCCACAAGGGAAATTGTTTGGATACAGCAGCTCACACGTCACAATATAATAACAAAGTGTAAAAAAAAATATATAAATGGTAATTCTAAATAATACATTTTAAATAAGTAGCAAAAAGATAGCAAGAGACAGATGTCAAAATAAACTTTAAATTAAATATTTATTTATGTATTTATTTATTTATTTGCACGTATAAAAAAAAAACCCAAAAAACTCTAGTTAAAAAAGTAGGTGCAAAAAACCCAAAATGGCGTAATATTAAAGCCTCCACCTTATGAATACATTAAAAGTTGAACATTGTCACTGTGCATTAAAAAAAATAAAAATACATTTAAACACCATGGATTAAATTCATTTGATTTAAATATTAGAAACAGAGGTCAAAATCTGTTTTTTTGTTTGACACTAAGACAGAAAAATTAAATAAACGGTTTCCCCATGTCATTGTTTTCCATTTTTAATTAAAATTCAAAAGAACGAACGGTACAAGGACCTAATATCCACATAATGAAAAAGATTTTTTAGTTTAATTCTAGAATCAGTCTGAGTGAACAAGTTCCTTCTGTTTTATTCATGATCATATCGTTAGTTTTGTTCAGTGTGTGACTAATGCATCGTCGTTGTTTCCTTTAAGTTTTCGTCTTCCTTTCCTTGACAGTTGTGGATAAATTCTTCATGGAGGAATGTTTATCCTTGTTGGTTGAAGATTTTTGGTGATGAGGCAGATTTATGAAGCTGCTGGAGAAAACGACACACATTTCGCCACAGAAAACAATTAACCCGAAGTTACGTTTACCCGACATCGCGACACTTCCGGCCGTTATGAAAAAAGTCTATTCTGCACTAAAATGAAAAGGTGCTCTGTGCGTCCGGTTAGTCACACGTCAGACTGAAATGCTTCTTCTACCTTTTACGGCTTTTCTTATTTTTGTCCTGGTCAAACCTTAAGAGGAGGCAGGAAGAGGAAGTTAAAGGGACGGACACAGAGGCAAGAGAAAACTTCTGTATCTCTGTATGTATCTTTGAACGTGAATAAATTAGACCTGTTCAATCCGTTTATCATTCGTTCATCCGTTTTTCAATATAAAACCAAAAATAAGAAAATAAAAAAAACTACTTTTTTCTTCGTTATTTGTCTCCAAAACCAAAATGAAAAAACGGATAATGATTTGTTTTCTCAGTTTTCGAATTTGTGTTTAAATGAAAAATGGAAAAAAACGGATAACGACCGTTTCCCGTTTACGTGACTTCTGTGACTGCGATGCCGGATTTTGCGCTGCATACGACAACCAGGACTGATCCAGGTCTGAGACCAGACCGGGACTGAGACCGGGACCGAGACCGGGACCAGGCCGGGACCAGACCGGAACTGAGACCGGGACCGAGACTGGGACCAGGCCGGGACCAGGCCGGGACCAGACCGGGACTGAGACCGGGACCGAGACTGGGACCAGGCCGGGTCCTGGCCCGGTCTCGATCTCAGTCCCGTTCTGGTCTCGGCCTGGTAACAGTTTCAGTTCTGATCTCAGTCTTGGTCTGGTCTTGGTCTGGTCCCGGTCTGGTCCTGAACCTGGATCAGTCCTGGTTCAATCCGTATGCAGTGCAAAAGTCCGGCATCGCAGTCACGGAAGTCACGTAAATGGGAAACGGCCGTTACCCATTTTTTCCATTTTTCATTTAAACACAAAATCAAAAACTGAAAAAACAAATCATCTGTTTTTTCATTTTGGTTTTGGAGACAAATAATGAAGAAAACTGTTTTTTTTGGTTTTATACTGAAAAACGAATGAAGGAACGATACACGGATTCTGTTCCTTGTGTGAAAAGGAAATGTTTTTGTAAATATCTCTGCATCTACTGACAAACATGACAGATCAGATAATATTATGAACAATGACTTCCTGCTGCTCGGAATCAGACAACAGAAACTGAGCAAAGGAAAGTTCAACTGCATTCGACTGAGATCACTGGGATTATCCTCTGCCACGGCTTTTGTGTCAATACCATATCATATATATATTTTTTTTCAGCTTGTTTTTTGTACTAGAATATTCAAAATTTGCTACTGGGAGACTAGAGATGCAAGATTTTTTTTTAATTTTGAAGGAAAATCAACAACAGAATACTTTCTTATTTGTAGAAAACATCAAGACAGTGCATAATCCAAAATAAAAACTATAAAATACACATAAACAGAGGGACAGTCAGACAGTTTTTAAAGCATGTGACTAAATAAATAAATACTCACTCTTTGATACAGTCTGGGATGGACACGTACTCCATTGGAACCAGTTCTGCCAGATCTGCCAGACTGAAGACGTATTTGATTTTCTGACTAAACTTGGAGCTGCAAAAAGAGATTTCAGATTCAGAAATTCAGCTCGATTGAATTAAGTTAAACACGAACTCGTCACAAACCTTATAAAAGGCTTCGTTAGCGCCAGCAGCGTGCGGATGAACCACGACGGATGCACAATTATGAGAGACTTTAAATTCTTTCTTAACCTGAAAAACAAAATATGAAATTAAATTATAGGGATGGGACAAGATTTCTGAAAATGTTTTTGGACTGGATAAAAAATGGAGCTAAATACTGGTGAGATACATTTTTGAGAAGCTGTAAGTCCAAAAAGCAGAGCTACAGCAGAAATATTAAATAAAGTAAATAAAAAAGGGTGAGGGTCAAATTTCACTATTTATTCAGTATAAACTCAAAATCTCGTTCTGTCGTCTCGTCTTGTGGAAATTATATCTCGTCCCACACCAGTTAAATGACATTTATGGAAGATAATTTGTTTAATTTGTCAGATTTAGAATTTTAAATACCGTTGAATTTCTCACTTTGAATTTTTCAACTTTGCAAAAACATGTTTGAATTATTTTTATTCTGAATCTTTGTGTACTTTTTCAATATGTATAAAAAATTCACCTTTTATATATTTAGCACAAATATTTTCAAGCCCTCAAATTCAGCAGTCAACAGTATAATAGTATTTTTGACTGTAATTTTTTTATTTAATTTTTTTTTTAAATAAAATTGTATAAAAATATTTCCAAGCCCCCAAATTCAACAGTTAAACTTCACAGTATGTACCGGTTGTTTTTTTTTCGCACTGTAAGTCACACTTTTTTTTCACGGTTTGGGTGTTTCCTGTGACTTACACTCCGGTGCGACTTATATATTAAAATTTTCACACTGAAACCGCAAGAGGCTCTTAGTCCTGCTGCAAGTGCAAGTGAAATATTCCACTGAAAACTGTATTCGAGCAGCAAAAAGAAATTTTGGAGTGAGTGAGAAACTTGTGAGGGACTGAAGAAAAGCAGGGATGGAGAACACAGCTTCACAGCAACAGGGAGGATGCACCATAAAACTTTCCTGAAGTCACTGGATGGATGGACAAAAGCCTGGACTTCAGTGACACCGAAACCATCCTGTCGGGATTCAGAAAGACCCGAATAATTCTAACTGGAACTGATGCTGAGTCTGACGACAGCGACACAGAAGAGGAAGACGCTCTGTTTACCTCCGGAGGTCGAGGCCGAGTTGTTCAGAAGTGACACCGAGGATGAAGAATTGAATGGATTTAGTGATTTGGAATGAGATGGGAGAGTTTGGTTAAACTTGTTCTGTTCTGTTGTTTATAGGCCTGGTCAAGCAGAAGTAAACAGCAAAGCCAAAAAATGTTTATGCATCTGATATAAAAATGTATTGAACAGATACATATGTACTCTAGTTTATGAAACTGTTGACCTTTTTTCTGTACCATTTTTGGTTCTAAAGTTCCATACGTTTTAAACAGACCATGTATGAAACAAATCATGTAAATAAATGGATGTATTTCATCATATCTTGTGTTATTCCATCTTTGAACTGTTGATGAAGGGACATGATTTTTCAAAAGAAAAAAAAAAGTATTTAAAATGATAAAAATTTGCTTGGAAGGACTGACATATTTTATAGAAATAGTTTCCTTTCATTTTGAAGTAATATTAAAGTATTCGAAAGAAAAAAGCGACAAATTATGTAAAATCCTGCACCTTCTACTTGTTTGAACAATTTTCCCTCCGTTACTTTTCCCTCCGTTACCATGACCTTTCTTAATAAAAAATCTCATGAGTCAAAAAGTAAGAGGTTTTTCAACCTAATCTTGTACCATATGGTAGAAAACTATATGAAGCAAATATTCAAACCAGTTTGTTAAGGATATGTAAGTGAGAACCAAGAGTTATCACTGTTTGGATTTATTGCCCAAAAAGTGCTGCATATTTCATTCCCTCCGTTACCGACATGAGTTTTTAAATTTTTTGTCAACAACTTGAAAGAATATCACAGGTTTAACTTGACCCTGTTGGAGTGTAACTCTTTCCTACATTCTGATACTTTACTTATTTCAATAGTTCCCTCTAGTTTCTGAATAAGAGACATTTGAATGTCAAAAATCTGCCCGTTTCCCTCCGTTACCACTTGACCAGACCCTTATGTTATAGTTTATCTGAAGAACTGTTCATATGTGACTGTTGTTCTCTCTACTATTGTTTTTAATAGAACTTGACTTTCCCCCAAAAAGTGCGAATTATAGAACGGTACTGAATATTTAAAAGGTGAAATTTTTATTTTGAGTTTGAAACATGAAAAAAGTACGCTTAAAATTTCATCAACAAAAATCCAGAATAGAAATAATTCAATTCATGTTTTTTCCAGAGTTAAAAAATTCAAAGTGAGAAATTCATCGGGATTTAAACTTCAAAATCTGATGGCACAAACGATCTTCCATAAACATTACACAATACTGATGCTTTAACAACAGAAAGTTCAGACGTTGGAATGCAGATGTACTACTGTAATTAGAGGGTTAGAGATATAATTTAAAATGAGTAGACGAGAAGACTTTTAGTGTTGATAAAAGCTCGTTTAGCAGCTGGCTTTTGTTTCACTGTTTGTTAATCAAACACTACGCGGGTGTGGCTCTTTTGGTGCGTTAGAAATCTGGATCAAGTCTCTGTTTATTTCGAGGAGGACAGATTAACAATTGTTGAAAAGTTATACAAACCTTATAAACCGTATAAATCATTATGCAAAAAGAGCTGGTTAAAAAATATGTTGTAAACTTCTAAAATAAGGATATAAAAATATATTTCTGTCTTTTCTGGTATAAAAAATATATTTCTGTCTTTTCTGGGTAATTTTACAGTAATTTCACGTTCATCTGATGCTTAAACCTCAACCAAGACATTTTAAAGGTCCTATAGAGTAAGGCTGTACAATTAAATGAATTTTGATCGCGATTTTGATTTGTGTCTCAAACGATTTCCAAAAACATATGATCGAGTTGAAACGATTTAAGTGATTTAAGTTTATATTGGGATATTTTTTATATAAATAAGTACAGTATTTTTCGGACTATAAGTCACGCTTTTTTTCATGGTTTGGGTGTTTCCTGCGACTTATATATTTAAATTTTCAGACTGACAGGCGTGAGAAGCTCTAGGTTTGTGTGTCAGTATCTAGTGCGACTATTACTCCTGTACCACTGTCACTTCGCTCTCTACTGCGCATGTCTCCTGCAGAAAAAGCCGTTGTTCTGCTGCAAATAGTGAAATCTGCAGCCGAAAACGGTAATCGAGCAGCAGAAAGAAAGTTTGGATTGAGTGAGAAACTTGTGAGCGGGGATGGAGAACGCAGCTTCATGGTAATCGGGAGGATGCACCGTGAAACTTTCCTGAAGTCGCTGGACGGATGGACAAAGCCTGGACTTCAGTGACACCGAAACCATCCTGTCGGGATTCAGAAAGACCCGAATAATTCTAACTGGAACTGATGCTGAGTCTGACGACAGCGACGCAGAAGAGGAAGCGTCGCTCTGTTTACCTCCGGAGGTCGTGGAAGTTGTTCAGAAGTGACACCGAGGATGAAGAATTAAATGGATTTAGTGATTTGGAGAGTCTGTTAAACTTGTTCTGTTCTGTTGTTTATGTTATAGTTTATCTGAAGAACTGTTCATATGTGACGTTAACAGTCTGTTGTTCTCTCTTCTATTGCTTTTTACTAGAACTTAACTTTACACAGGAAATGTCAGTTCCTGGTCTCTGATTTTATAAACTACATTTCCCCAAAAAGCGCGACTTATGTTTTTTTCTTCTTCACTGCGCATTTTTTAACTGGTGCGACTTATAGTCCAAAAAATACGGTATATTTATTGTATTTTTTTAATATAGAGATTGTAGAACAGCTGGATATATAGTTTATTTTGGATACATTTATGTTTTTCTGTGCGTTATTTCATGTTCAAAGTATATTTAATTCATTTTATGTTATTCTTAAATTGAAAGTGTTTTTTTTGTGTGTGTTAAACGTGTGAATAAAACCAAAAAAACACGACTCCAGGTCTGTTTGTGAGGAGAAAACATTATAACATAGATCAGAAAATAGTGTAATATATCCCTTTAACACATTTCTATCTCTTAATTTCACTTTTTTAGTTTTATAATGTGATATTATTGTACACTGCCTGAACAAATAAGACTACTCTTTGTCAAACACACACTCTGATTAATGACACGCCCTTCCTTGTTAGGATGACTCACCTTCTGTCGATTTGCTGATAACACTTCCGTAGCCAGCCCACAGTTGGCATCTTCTTCCGTGACGTGGCACCGTTCAAATAGACTATCATGTAATTCTCTGCCACCAGAAGCTCCAGTGTCCCAATCACATACCTGCGACAGAGAGGCCCTTTAGAACGCGCTTACACTCACCACGTTTACATGATGTTTTTAAATTCTGAATCAAATAGTTCGGAATTAAAATATTCTTCTTTGGAAACAGTAATTCTGGATTGAGGTTTACATCAAAAACACGTTAAATCATCTTTATTTAATCGCGCTCAACGTCTGGAGATCAGGAAGGTTTCACGATCGCATTTACGTCGACTGGGAGAAAACACACACTTCATCTGCTACTGGCTTTACTGTCATCTCGGTTTGTCGTTACGCCACAGACACAAACACGATCTAAACTTTTTCCACGGCCGTTCCGAAGATAATTGCGAAGCAGCAGCTGGAGAATTGTCTCATCACGCTTTACGTCTGTCAGCTGAGGAGGAGAAGGGAAGAGTGTCGGAGAAGGAGGAAGAAGACAAAATGAGTGTGAGGCTGCTCTACCTCAGCCCACTCCCACATCCCGCTCGCAAATCCAAAGAGACGTGGATGAAAGTCTGAAGCCAGGACTGGTGGAGCCGGATCGAAGGGCGATTCAACGAGCATGAGCTGGACGACCGGAATGATTTTTAAAAAGAATCGATGTTTACAAGCCAGACTGGCGCTATCTAGTGTCTCCACTCAATTTCATTTCTCTGCAGTGACTAGGTCAGCAATCAGAATACATTAGATCAAGAGTGTCCAAATGTTTTTCATCAAGGGCCACATCTCTAAACACAGACAAAGCAGAGGGCCGATCGAGGGCCATAGACTGGTGCTCAATACAGTGAATAATTGAAATATGTGCATGAATGATCCACCAGTCTTTATTCAGGCTAAGATCCTTAAAACTACACACTAAATATTAAATATGAGCTTTATCAAGGTAGATTTTCAAAAAACTTGCCATATAAAGTAAATTTGTAGTTGATGTAAGGCCATTTGGGCCAATTCACCTGAAAGCTGAGGGCCAAGAAAAATTTGTCTGAGAGCCGCATTTTGCCCATGGGCCATAGTTTGGACATGTCTGCACAAGAATCTTGGAAATGTGAGTTTGGGCACCAGTGAATCAGCGAAGAGTCAGACATTCTGTGTTGGCAACGGTTCCCAAGATCGAGGATTTAAAGCCGGAACAAAGAGAATGTTTGGTGAATTTTATCAAGGGGAAAGACGTTATTGTCCTTCTTCCTATGAGATTTGGGAAAAGCTTAATTTACCAGTTAGTCCCGTTAGTGGCGCATTACAAACATCACGGCCAAACATCAGCGATTGGCTAAATAAAAAAAGTAACCGCCTACTGTCGAGTGAACGAATCATAATGCTGCGCGGTCACACGGTTTCCACAAAGTGAAACTGGCTGATGAATCAGGCTAAACATTTACATGATCGAGAAATAAATTAATCTGGCTTTAAAATCGAAATAAACCACCCACTTACTTCGGAATTAAGTTTAATTCTGAATAATCATTTTTCAAGTGTTTTCAATCAAGTGTTTACATGGTCTTTTTAAAGCGGAATAAATGTTTTATTCAGAATTAAAGCTTTCATGTAAACGTGGTAATAGTAAAAAAAACACATTGGTTCTACTTACTTAAATAAATTGTCCATAATGTATCTGTAGTTTGGTTTGTTGCTTTCAGGCATAAAACACACGGCAAATACGATGATGGCGTTCAACCCGTCTCCATAGTAACCTGAAGAAAATACAGAAAACAGAAAAGAAATTTGATGTTGTATTGGTGTTATGAGACGGCCGGTGGGATTTTTACATGGACCTAATGAGTTGTAATCGGTAAAATCTATTGATACTTCGCAACTGATGTCATTCACATTTCTTGGGGGTGTGAAGCTAACTGAAAGCACTGCTCTGTCTGAAGCTCTGTTAGTCAAATGAGACTTAATCTGAGCTTTATTTTAACACGATCTGACCATAAAGAGCTGATTTGGTTCAAAGTACAATAGACTGCGTAAAGAAGTGGACTAAGTGAGTTCGACGTCACTCACAGCATTCAGCTCCAGTCAAATGAAGCTCATCGAGGCTTGCGAATTCGGAGCCAGGCTTTATTATAAGGAACAGGAATTTATTTATGGACAAAATAGGACTAAACGGACTAAATAAAAACACCAGGATCATGTAGAGCAGGTTAACACGAACATTTAAGATCAAAATGACGAGGTTCACAGCAGCAGTTACAGAGGGAGAGGAGCCAATGGGAGCGAAGGGTCAGACGGAGCTGGAAGTGCGTCCATGCTGACTTGTTTGGAATGCGGCGGGTGGCGGTTTAACAATGTCCATTTATAAATACAGTCTATGATCTCATGTTTTTGTTGAAAATCAAACTCCTAGACCAAACAGGACCATAAACGCTCGTAGTGATTACAGACTCCTGAAAATGTGATGTTTTAATTAGTGCTGTCAATCGATTAAAATATTTAGTCACGATTAATCTCACGAATGTCATAGTTAACTCGCGATTAATCACAAGTTCATTCGCACATGTTTTGTCCCTTGAATCATCATTTTAAAACTCTTATCGACTTAGAAAAGTGGATAGGCTTTGTGCACATGTCCAAGTGGCCTGGGTCGCATTTGAAAAAATCGGATCCGTGTCATTAAAAGATCAGAAACAGGAGCATGGGGCGAAAAAAATCGGATTTGGGTCACTTCAGGCTGCAGTCTGAACGTAGCCAAGATGGTATCCCACTCATTAATGTTAATTTAGCATCATAAATTATTTTATCACACGTTGATAAACTGTTTTAGTGCGATGACTTCATGTTACTTCATGTTACTCGCACAGACAGCGGCACTTTCTGCATTCTACATCCACTGAGTTCATAAACATATAATCCGTCTATATTACACAAAATGAGCTCTTGTGAGTTTTAAGTCATGTTATAATGTTGTTAATATTCTTATCGACGTAGAAAAGTGGATAGGCTTTGTGCAAATGTTGTTTTTTTATTTCAGTGTTTGCGATCGTGTTTATCCCAACTGTGCTGTACGAAGGGCGAAGACGTCGTCACACGGTGCTGTTTGTTTACATGTGCAGAGAAAATAAGTCCAGCGGCAGAAATATCTATTAAATAGTGAGACATATGAGTCCTGCTGCGATACACTCGTCCATGAATTTATGGAGATAAAAACAGCTCAGAGCAGTGAGAACAGCCAGAAGAGTCTGTAAAACTTCTGTTTATGTCACAGTCGTTATCGAAGGTCAGCGTGGATTCGCCGTGTGTTTTGGAGCGGACTTTATTTAGTGTGTGAATAACATCAGCGCACACACAGGGTTTCTCAGTTTCGTACGAATTGTTTTGCTTCTTGTTTACAGTCAGATCCTGCAGTTTTTCTAATGTTACAGCAGTGGCCACAGCTTATGAAAAAAACTAGTTTGCGATAAAAAAAAAAAGTTTTGTTAATAGTGCAGTATTTTTGACAGTACTAGTTTTATTCCATTTCATCTTTTTTACTGAATTTTCAGACAATCTTAAAACATATTTGAGTTTGCTAAAACCGCTGTCACACCTTGACGATTTAGCCAGCGTATGCCGACGGATGAAAAATTTGGCAAATACGCTGGCGTACGTCGGATAAGTTCTAGGTAAGTATTGTATAAGTTATGAGCACGCTGAAGCACGCTGGCATACGGCGACATACGGCAAGGTCGTCGAACAATTTTGAATATGCTGAAAATTTCTCGACGTATGTCAGCGTATGTTTATACGTCCTGCATACGTGGGGCATAAGTTGCAGGTAAGTTAGACTGTTGTTAGGCATAAGCTGGGGACGCTGGCAACACGCTCAGCATTAGTTGGTTTAAGTTATATATAAGCAGTGTTGGGGAGTAACAGATTACATGCACCGGAGTTATGTAATCAGAGTACAAATTATGAGTAACTGTATTCAGTTACAGTTACTGTTTCAGTGGATTACAGTTACTTTGTTGAAATAAATGGATTACACAGAGGTATTTTACTGCTTTCACATTTTGGACTAAACCAGGACTAAACCCGGTCTAAACCAGGACTAAACCAGGACTAAACCTGGTCTAAACCAGGACTAAAACCAGTACTAAAGCAGGAATAAACCAGGCAGCAGTGATCTCATATAAAAATCATTTCTCTATCAATAATATTTTTAATCTGATTAAGTAAAGTCTGTTTTTTTTGTTTTTTTTTATTATTTTGGCAGATAAAACATCTGATGTTAAAATCCTGGTCTTTTCTTCTCTACAGTAAAACAAAAGTCTGTTCATGGAGACTTGGACTCAACAGACAATTTGAAGAGAACAAAAGAGAATGTTCAGGATGTGGTCGCTACTTTCATGTAGTTTTAAAAAAACATGACAATATCAAGTAATCCAAAGTATTCAGATTACATTACTCACTTTAAGTAATTTAGTGGATTACGTTACAAACTACATTTTGGGGGATGTAATCTGTAATCTGTAGGGGAATACATTTTAAAAGTCACCTTCACAACACTGTCTATAAGTTATCAAAACATTCTATATAAGATAATAATACGTTATGTATACGTCCAACTCGTTATGAATACGCTATGTATACGCCCAAAATAAAAAAAAAAACAAAACATCGATGGTTCAGCGTATGCCAGCGTTTTAGGGAAATTCTGGTACGTCGGCATACGTTTTGGTGTGACAGGGCCTTAATATGTGCATTGTGTCACCACGATAACTAATGAACACGTAGAACACCCCCAGCGCGATGTAACTGCGAAGTATCAACTGGTGATGAAGCGTGCAGAGTGAAATGCCCGGGTTCTTCAGGCGTGTGTTACCTCCGTGGCTGATGACTCTCTTGTACGGCTCGATGGCCTTCATGTCCACCTTATGCTCCTGATCCCCGATCCTGAAGAGCCTCCACCTGCGCCCCTCCTCCCTCTCCTCCGACGCCGTGAACTCCTCCACCGACTCCACCCCCTTCTCCAGCAGCTCGGTGGCTTTGGGCTTCGGCAGGTCATCTGACGGGAAACAGCGCAGGCTCATAAAAGATACTCAGGTTTGTTTGTGGACGACGTCATGCAGGGGGGCGGGAATCAGGGCTCCAAGACAGGAACCTTTCATTTATGACTGATTTAGTGATTCAAAATAATGTTTCATCTCTTGATAACAATTTTGTGGATCATATTTGAATTTTTTTTTGTGCTGATGCATTTTTAAATAATGTGTATTTCAAAATTTATTCCATCTTTGAGTGATTTCTGTGTGAACTGTGTCCGGTTTCATGCATGAGAGAATATCGTGTATGTATCGGGAAGAGGTGGGTAGATTTCTGAATATTTTTGTAGTGTTGCTCCGATACCATTTTCTGGGATCTGATCCGATATCAATACTTGGCCTTAGCGTACTCGCCGATACCAGTCCGATACCACATAGTGTGAAGCAGTCGACCATCCTGTTGGGATTCAGAAAGGCCGGAGTGATTCTAACTGGAACTGATGCCGAGTCTGACGACAGCGACACAGAAGAAGAAGCGGCGCAACGTTTACCTCCGGAGAAGTGACACCGAGGATGAAGAATTGAATGGATTTAGTGATTTGGAGTGAGATGGAGAGTTTGGTAAACTTGTTCTGTTCTGTTGTTTATGTTATAGTTTATCTGAAGAACTGTTCATATGTGACGTTAACAGTCTGTTGTTCTCTGTTCTGTTGTTATTACTAGAACTTGACTTTCAACAGGAAATGTCGGTTCCTGGTCTCTGATTTTATAAAATACATTTGCGACTTATATGTTTTTTTCTTCTTCATTATGCATTTTTTGGCTGGTGCGACTTATACTCCGGAGCTACTTATAGTCAGAAAAATACGGTAATAATTTTGACCATAAGTGGTGTTGATTTAAACACTTATATTTTTCTAATTTGTTATTTTCTACTGCAGTGCATGGATAAAAACAACAGTGAGGCCTGTAAAAAGACGCTCATACTCGGAGAACAGGGATAATTCTGCAGAGGAAACAAGTCCGAGTTGCTGCTGTTGTCCGTCTGAATTCTCTCCGTAACTCAGTTTTTTTTTTCTGGCATTATCAGTGTGTTTTAAGAGTCTGCACAGAAAATACAAAGTGGCATCGGCTCGGTGATTTGGGCTGAGTACACGCAGATACCGATCCCTGAAAAAATGTTTGGTACCGGAGCTTTTGCGGACACCAGAATCGGTATCGGAACAAGCCTAATTTTTGTATTTTTTACGAATAAAAAACAAAACAAAACCATGCACCAAGGTGAATGAACTGTATCACATTTGCCACAGAGACACAGAGGCAGATTTTCACTGCGGGGTCACGGGTGATTGGGCGTCGGCTCTGGGACAAACCTTACCATGAGCAGAGACCTGAGCCTGTCTGCAAATCCACAGAAAAGGACGGCAGCAAAGAGACAAAAACAACACAACTTAAGTCACATTGCGCTGACCCTGTGGATAAAGGTTAGAGCGTGAAGAGAAAACAAGAAACGCTGTTAAACTCTGAGGCAGTGGAGTCATAGTTCTACAGTAATTTCAACACTTTTCAATTCCTTAATCTCAGTTTCTATTGTCTAAAAGTGTTTTCATGAAGTGGTCATTTTGATACAAGACTCTTACAACTGCCTCTGTTTACTACAAGTGGTTAGGTGTATTACTGACTTAAGTTTGATATAAGTTTTAATAAATTAATTAGAACAGATCTGGGCATTGTCCCATTGTCTCCCAGGCCACATACAGGACTTTAGTTGACTGATCGGCCCGTTTAAGATAATTTGGAATTACAAAATAAACATTTTATCATTTTACCTCATGCATTGACTAAAACTGTATTGCTTGTTTTTTAAATGACTTTTTTTTGTAAGGCAGCCTCACTTTTTCATTGCTTAATCATAACATAATGTCTTACCTAAGTCTGTGTAATTAATTGAATGATCATGATTTGTGTGTCGAACAATCTCCAAATTCATATAATCGAGTTGATTTTGGGATTTTGGGAAAGGTTAAAGTTTATTTTGGGGATTTTTTTCATATAAATAAGAAGATATATATAAAGAGACTGTAGAACAGCTGGATATATAGCTTACTTTGGATACACTGATGTGTTTATTATTCATTATTTAATTTTTTATATTTTTTGTAGCTTATATTTATTTTCAGTTGGAAACTTTTGCATAAATTATCAATAACAAAGTGTTTTTTTTTTTATGTACTTTTTTTTTGAGAGAGAGAGAGAAATGCTGAATAAATGCATCGTGTAACTAAAAAATAATCATTTGAATAATAATAATAATCTCAATATTGACCAAAATACTTGTGATAATGATTTTTTCTGTAATCGAGCAGCCTGAGCAGCTCAACAAAACAATGATATTTCCTGCTTTTTTATAAAGAATTACAATTAATATTATGCAGAATTGAGCCTAGCATTTTGGTTTCTCATGTGGCCCCATAGAAAACGAAATATTGCTACCACTGAATTAGAATATGGATATAATTTTGTCTGTCAGTCACGGTGCTTAATAAATCCATTGTATTGTATTGTCATGTAAGTGGTTTGATCTTTGCACTACATGAGTCCATATTACTCTATTTTCTGATCTATGTTATAATGTTGTCGATTTCAGCCCTGGAATCACCAAACTCTACTGAACTAAACTACCACGTCATGACCTCGTTTAGAGCTTTGGAGATGTAGACAAACTAATAATTAAGTGTTACTCAAACACGTGAGAATGAAACAAAACACAACTCCAGGTCAGTTTTTGAGCCGATAACAACATTATCACAAGGTTTAAACCTCAAAAGAGTCAATTTTGCACAATATAGGACTTAGAACAATATATATTTTTTTACTAATCAATATCATATGTTCTCCACAAACACTTTTTATTGTTAACAATGTGTAAATCTCAATATTAATATTTAGTCTACTCAATAAAACGCTAAAAGGGATTCAGATTTAGTCCGGTGAGGTTCATTTGGTCTTCTGATAATAACTGAAAAAAGAACTTAATAACATAAATTAGGTTCTTTTTTTTTTTGCTCTGAAAACATAACCTAATAAAATGGATTGAGATTTAACTGGAACAACATTATAACCTGGTTTAACGCTTCATTTACATCAACTCCGTCCCTGTATTTCTGTGAATATTCTACAAAACCACATTTCACTCCAGTATCATCTAGTTAAATTTGCTGGTTTAAGTACAAGTGCAACATCCTGAATGAGTTTTAAAACATTTTATAATAACCAGACGCCTCCGTGACGCATGGAATCACTGTAAATTGGAATGCGTGAAATGAGACGCACGGCTGAGGTGACGGAGTTGGTGTAAATGAAGCGTAAAGGTCTCGAGAGTCAGTTTTGCGTAATATACAGTAGAGAAGAAAAGGATCCACAAGGGACACTTCTTTGGACGTTTATTTTTGTTCAGCTGATGTTAATTTTGCGTACGAAACAAAACGCCGGTGTAAAATGTAGATAAATAACTGCTTTGTGTAATACTGGAGTGTCCCAACAAGCGAAACTTAAGGACTAGTTTAAAGTGAATCTGTGTGTCATTCGTTTTTCAAAATAAAACCAAAAATAAGAAAATGTGAAAAGCATCAATTTTCTTCATTATTTGTCTCCAAATCCAAAATGAAAAAACAGATGATTTTTTTTTTTTTTTCAGATTTGGATTTTGTGTTTAAATGAAAAATGGAAAAAACGGATAACGACCGTGACTGACCCAGGACTGAACCAGGACTAAACCACCAGGACTGAACCAGGACTGAACCGGGACTGAACCGGGACTGAACCGGGACTAAAACAGACCCGGAGGTATGATCGGGACTGAGGCCGGGACTGAGGCCGGGACTGAGGCCGGGACTGAGGCCGGGACTGAGGCCGGGACTGAGGCCCGGACTGAGACCGGGACTGAGACCGGGACTGAGACCGGGACTGAGACCGGGACTGAGACCGGGACTGAGACCGGGACTGAGACCGGGACTGAGACCGGAACTGAGACCGGAACTGAGACCGGAACTGAGACCGGAACTGAGACCAGGACTGAGACCAGGACTGAGACCATGAGCCAGACCGGGACCTGAGACCAGGACTGAGACTGAGCCAGACCAGGACTGAGACCGGAACTGAGACCCGGAACTGAGACCGGAACTGAGACCGGGACTGAGACCGGGACTGAGACTGAGCCAGACCGGGACTGAGACCGGAACTGAGACTGGGCCCGACCGGGACGGAGGCCGGGGCCGGGACCAGAACGTGATTTAGTCCTGGTTGAGTTCTGGTTTAGACCTGGTTTAGACCTTATTCAGTCCTGGTTTAGTCCTGGCATCTCAGTTTAAGTCACATAAACGGGAAACGGTCGTTATCCGTTTTTCCTATTTTTCATTTAAACACAAAATCAGAAACTGAAAAAAAAGAAAAAAAAAAAAAAGAAAAGTTGTTTCTTCGTTTTTTTATTTTTGGTTTTATTTTGAAAAAGCGAATGTTACGACTGACACACAGATAAAAGTGAGTCCTCTGTCCTTCACACTGAACGTGGCGTGTGTAAAGTGAGAGCAGACGCTTTACCTTCCCACTCAAACTCGTTGCTGTTGTCCGAGGGCGTGTCGATGGCGTCCAGGTCCAGCTCCGTGCTCTCTTCCAGCTCGTCCGAGATAATGGAGCCCTCACTGCGGTCCAGGGTCAGGCTGATGTCTGGAGCCGCCAACTTCTTCCTCATCTTCGCCCCCTGATCATATTCATAACCTACAGACACATATTAGAGTGAATATAGTTAAAAAGGAACGATATTTTGGTATTTTTTTAATCTTTGTTTCCTCATCACAAACAGACCTGGAGTTGTGTTTTTTTTTGTTTCATTCACGTTTAACTCACAAATTCTGCAGATTTATGCCGAGATCTTCTCTCAAACAGAAAGAAAATACTCTGTTCCTGTTTGATTTGTGTGTCAAACGACCTACAAACTCATATAATCATGTCATGAAATGATTAAAGCTTTATTTTACTAAGTTTATTTTGGGATAGAGCAGCTGGATATATTGTTTATTTTGGATACATTTATGTTTTTCTATGCCTTATTTCATGTTCAAAGTATATTTAATTTTTTTTTTTTTAAAGTTTATTCGGATGTCTCCATAAATAATAAACTGCATTATCATACAGTAAATGATAAACCGCATACGCAATAATCAACAAATGCATAAAGATTATTATTTTACACTGCTCATCACAACTTTAATCTCCAAAAATTTAAATTAAAATTTTAATAAAAAAATCAATTATTCAAAAAATGTTATGTTTTATACATCGCAAAGCTGCTCTAAGATTCATATTTGAAAGTTTTGCATAAATTAGAGAGAGAAAAGCTGAATAAATGCATCGTGTAACTAAAAAATAATCATTTGTATAATCGTGATTTCAGTATTAACCAAAATAATTGTCAGAATGATTTTTTCCATAATCGAACAGCTCTAATTTCAGCTCTGGAATCTCTACTTAAAAAAAAAAAAAAAAGGTAAACGGAGCTGTTCACTTGAAAACTACCACTTCATGACATCACAAGGTGGAACAGAGGATTTAGAGCTTTGGAGATGTAAACAGACTAATAAAAAAGTTACTCAAACACATGAGAATGAAACAAAACAAAACTCCATGTCCATTTTTGACCCTAACCCTAAAAATATGAATTTCTTAGACTTAAACAAACTTTATTGATCCATAAGGAAAATTATTCTGACTCTTTGTTGGACATTTATTTTTGTTCAGCCAATGTTAACTTTGCGTACTAAAAGAAATGTCAAACGTGATTTAAAAAAAAAAATGCTAAAAAAAGTATGAAGTATGAACTGTCCTTTTGTGTTAATTAACAAGTATTTAATATTGTGTTTGTCACGTAAATAAGTTGATATAAATGTTGAAGTGTTAAGGGCCGTTCACACCAAAGCGTCAAAAAACGCCTTGACGCCTCTATTTGGACGCCTTTGCATTTGAGTTTAGACGCCCCCGATGCACATCTTTGACGCCGTGCACGAACAGGAGAAAAACACTTGACGTGCGTCCGTTGCCCTGGAAACAAGAGCCCGGTCCCGCTCTTTTCCCGAAACAATGTCAGACCAGACTGAGAGAGTGTTTTTATGACATAAAACATCAGTGGAGGAGATCGGGTGGACGACTGGGGCGTAAATATATTTATACTCCACTAATGACACTGGATCAGTCCTGGTTTAGTCCCTGTCTAGTCCCGGTCTAGTCCCGGTCCGGTCTAATACAGGTCTGGTCCCGGTCTAGTCCTCGCGATCGGCTCAGTGATTGTGGTGTATATATTTATGCTCCGCTCATGTTTGTGGTTCTTGTTCTGGTTCTCGGGTCTTTCTTTCTGATAATAACGTCGCTGTGTCACTGGATACTCGTCCCTGATTGGTTGACGCGGCGAGTCTGACGCAAAAAGTTCAGCATTTTCAACTTCTTGACGCTGACGCCTCGGACGCGCGTCTAGACCGCCGACGCCAAAACGCTCAAGACGCGCCACGTCGACGCCAGATTCGCGCTGCGCTGACGCCGAAGACGCTCCGCAAAAACGCAGGACGCTGTAGTCGCGCGTCCACATCGACTTTACATAGAAACTGGACGCTTTGACGTGAACGGCTCTTTAGTGAAATATTTTAATTTGTGTGAAAAGTGGGCAGATATTACAAGTCTATATTTCTTTCTGCAAATAAAAAAATGAATAAGATGAAATTAAATACTTTATTAGCAAAACAGCTGTGTAAAATGTTTATATAATTAACTGTGATGAACTTCTAACTGTGGTGAGATGTTCTACTTCTCCGTTCACTGCAAAACTGTGGATTAGAGGTTAAATTTAAGATATTCAAAGTGGAAGAATTTGAATGTACAATTTTAATATCAGCTTTCACAACACCAAAGTGCATGCAAGGTTAAAATAAAACACTTCTCCTTTTTCTCAGTGAGATAAAAAGTGTGTGTGTGTGTGTGTTGTGTGTCGTACCGTCTCCATCTCCAGACGTCCCCCCAAAAAGCTCCTCCTCCAGCTCCTCCTCTGGAAGTGGGCTGCACACACACAGAGGTCAGAGTTATTAGAGATTTACATTAATTATCAATATTCTAATTATAATATTCCAATGTAAGTCAGTGACTAAAAACACTTTTAAGGGCAATTTTGTTACAGAGACTTAATAATCCATTTTATTTATTGTTTTGGATGTGTTTGGTTCAACAATGGTTTATTGAAGTGCACTTTTGTTAACAATCTTACATTAGACTAGTCCTGTGTTAACAAGTCTGTTTTATTTAGGCCTGTTGTTTTTGTTTGTCTTACAGTTCCTGTGTTAAATGTTCTTTACAAAATAAAGTTTATTGATCTTTGAGAGGATGTATTTGCATTTTTATTCCATGGTTAGTATATTAGTTGAAATTGGTCTCAAAATGTCAATATTATCATTTATCACAATAAATTCTTGGTCAATTAATCGTCCAGCAAAATCGGTTATCGTTACACAGTGTTGGGAAGGTGACTTTTAAAATGTAATCCCCTACAGATTACAGATTACATACACCAAAATGTAGTTTGTAACGGAATCCATTAAGTTACTTAAAGTGAGTAATGTAATCTGAATACTTTGGATTACTTGATTTGCTGTAGAGAAGCAAAGACGAGGAAATCGTAACATAAGATGTTTTATCTGATAAAAGAAAATAAAAAGTCCAGACTTTACTGAACCAAATTAAAAATATTATTGATAGAAGAAGAGACACGTCCACACAGCAGGATTTAGTCCTGTTAAATCCTGTTTGAGACAAAGTTTAGACCTGGTTTTAGACCTGGCTGGTTTAGACCTAGTTTAGACCTGGTTTTAGACCTGATTTAGACCTGGATTTAGACCTAGACCTGGTTTAGACCTGGTTTAGACCTGGTTTAGTGTCCGGCAATGAGTGGAATTACTAAAAAAAAGAAAAAAAAACAGGAAAATCCCTCTGTGTAATCCATTTATTTCAACAAAGTAACTGTAATCCAATTACCACTCACTGAAACAGTAACTGTAACTGAATACAGTTACTCATAATTTGTACTCTGATTACGTAACTCCGGTACATGTAATCTGTTACTCCCCAACACTGTCGTTACATGTAAATAAATAAATATAAATAAATGTAAAATGTTACCGGGGAAAGTCCTCGTCCTGCCACTCCTCCTTCAGCTCCACTCCCTCCATCCGCAGACGAGCTTCTGTGGTGGAGATGGACTCTTGACGCTCCAGGCTGCGGACCAAAGGACAAGCTCAAGAATTCAAGAATGTGCAACTTGAAATGTTCCACAGTGTGACATTAAACACACAGGTCTAGCATTCATCCATCACAGGAATTTCCATTGCTCGAAAATATGTATGAAATGTAGCGTGGTGCTGTAACCCGCTTGACTTCCTTGTGATGGACGGTTTTAATCTCTGCCGTGGAACATTCTAGACAAAGCGATAACATGTCCACGGAGACAAGCAGGCTGGAAATGTTACGCTGTGCAGCTTTAAAAGACTCTGAGCTCTTTAAACGGGATCAGATCATCGGTGGAAAAGCTAAAAAATCCAGTGTCGCCGAGACTTGTGACTTGTAAATCTGGAGGATTAAAGTGTAAACTGATGCTGCATCCACAGAGTCAAGGAGCTTTAGATAAAACCGGCCGGGTGCATTTTTAAAAACATACAGTTACTTTGCAAGTCCTTGTAGTAAATAGTATAGACCAGGGGTGTCCTTTTTTCATTAAGGGCCACATATGTAAACACAGATGAAGCAGAGGCCGATCGAGGGTCATAGACTGATGCTCAATAAAGTGAATAATTGAAATATGTGCATGTTTATCATGTTAGAATGTCTTTATTCACTCTAAAATCCTTAAAAACCAAACACTAAATATTAAACATTAGCTTTATCAAGGTAGATTTTCAAAAAACCTGCAGTAAAAAGTTAACATTTAATTGATGCAAGGTCATTTGGGCCAATTCACCTGGAAGCCTGAGAGCAAAGAAAAATTTGTCTCAGGGCCGCATTTGGCCCACGGGCCATAGTTTGGACATGCCTGGTATAGATCTTTTTCACAACGGAAGTTTTTAGGTTTGCAGAACTTCCTGTTAATGTGTGTGTAAATGTGTGTCGTTTTCTCCAGCAGCTTCATAAATCTGCCCCATCACCAAATCTTCAACCAACAAACTCCACAAAGGATAAATATTCTAACATGAACAATTTATCCACAACTATCAAGAGAAGAAAGACCAAAACTTAAAGGAGAAACACGATGATGCATTAGTGAACTACCAAGCAAAACTAATGTTATGGTCATGAATACGGGTGTGCAAAAATATCAAAATATCAATATACCGTATCATTTAATTTGATGATATAGTTTCCATATCATGGGCTGCTGTATCGATATATCACCAAGAGTATATTTTGGTATATTTTACTAAATTATTTTGTTACAACTACAGTTTTGTTGCTTGTTTAGAGGAAGGAAACAAGTTTATGCAACACATTTGACATTTTCACTGTTTTGACGATTAAAATGTGTTTCATATGAACTTTGCAAAAGAAGTGGTTTAACAAAGACTTTTAGTATCACAGTCATGATTTAGCCTTTATTTTTGATTGAACCGTATCAAATCGATTTGAAATATATCGTATTGAATCAAAAGTGCACTGTATCGATGATATGCACCATATCGACAACTTCTGACTGACACCCAGCCCTAGTCATGAATATAACAGAAGTAACTTGTTCACTCAGACTGATTAATTTTTATTTCAAACACAAATATTATTCGGTCCATAGTTAAAAAAAACAAAACAAAACAAAAAACATACAGGGCACCCAATTAAGTCCATAAAGTTGATTAAAAAGTGTTTGTTTCTGTGACCAGAGCCCAAATCCTCAAATAAGCTCAGGCTCATTTGAGGATTGGTCAAAGTCTTCATGATGGAGTTTTCAGAACAGTATGTTTTTGTTGTTGTTGTTTATTTGTCTCCAGTTTTATCTGAATAATATTTCTGTCTGAAATAAATAATAATAATCAGTAATGGTGTGCAAAAATATCGATATATCGTATTGTTTAAGGTGATGATACAGTATTGATATCGTGCTGCTGTATCGATATATCACCAATTTATATTTTTTGGTTTATTTTACTAAATTATTTTGTTACAACTACAGTTTTCTTGCTTGTTCAGAGGAAGGAAACAAGTTTATGCAACACATTTGACATTTTCACTGTTTTGATGATTAAAATGTGTTTCATATGAACTTTGCAAATGAATTGGTTTAACAAAGACTTTTAGGCATGATTTAGCCGGTATCAAATCAATTTGAAATATATTGCATTGAATCAAAAGTGCACTGTATCGAGGTATGTACCGTATCAGCGACTTCTGACTGACCCAGCACTAGTCATGAATATAACAGAAGTAACTTGTTCACTCAGACTGATTATCATTCTTTATTTCAGATCGCAGCCCACGATATCGATATCGATACGACAGAAATATTATTCAGATAAAACTGGAGACAAAAAAACAAAACAAAAACAAAAAACAAACATACAGGGCACCCAAATTAGTCCATAAAGTTGATTAAAAAGTGTGGAGTTTTAGTGCTTTGTCAGAACAGAGATTTAACAGCCTGAGCTCATTTGAGGATTGGTCAAAGTCTTCATGATGGAGTTTTCAGACACTTCCAGGAGCTACATAAACGTGGAGACTAAATAACTAAACAAAATTAAAAATCGATTTTCACGATGTCAGTGTGTCACTAATGCGTCGTCGTTGTTGTTCTCCTTTACGTTTTCGTCTTTCTTCTCTTGGTATTTGTGGATAAATTCTTCATGTTAGAATGTTTATCCTTTGTGGAGTTTGTTGGTTGAAGATTTGGTGATGGGGCAGATTTATGAAGCTGCTGGAGAATAGGCGAGTTTCAGCTGACGTCATTGTTATTAAAAGCCCGCGTTGCTGCTGGGAAATATTTTGGTCGGAGGCAAGAAACACGGTAGCGTCAAACACAGTGCGTAACCTCGCGTATTTATCCCCGATAATGGTAAATTTCTGCTGCATTATCGGATGCACAAATAGAAGCACGGAAGAAGGAAAATGTCTTTTTCTTATTCCGAGTGAAAAGAACCGCTAACGGTGAATTAAACGGCTTTCAAACATCCGCAGAGCAAACGTAGAAGATCCTAACAAACCGTGGACTCCAACAAGTTCAACAACACATCGAGACTCTTGGAGGTTTTCATCTTTTCTGCTGTGAATGGCCCAGGAGTTTCCACCAAGTCATTGTGGATATCGCCCAAGTGAATATTTGTCCAGGTAGTTGGCGATTCCGACCAGAAATTTGGTTTGTTCCACCTTTTGTCGGGGTTGAAAAGGGTGATTTGGCGTCCGTCGATGCTTATGACCAATTTCTGGTCAAATGGTCTTGGGTCCTCTGCCGTTAGAGTGGATAAATAACCGGGATCAATACCCTTTACGTGCTTTCTCGCTCCGTCCGTCATGTTGAATTAGTGTTTATTGCCGCCGACCAAAATAATTCCCAGCATGCAACGCGCGCTTTTGTCAACAATGAAACTCGCCGATACGACACACATTTACACACACATTTTACCACAAAAAAACATTAACCGGAAGTTCCGCAAACCTACAGCGGGACACTTCCGGCCCATGTGAAAAACCTTTTATTGACTATGAACCTTTTCCATATGTGCTGCTGAAAATTCTAGTTTCTGTTGTTGTGACTGACTGAGTGTGTTTACAAGTATCCCGATATACAAACTTTCATAATATTTGCCCTGATTTTCTTTATTAAATACATGGCTGTACTTTTAAACACACCATATTCTGTAATGATTTTGACAAAAGATGTTTTTTTTTACTTTGAACATGATTTTCACTGTGTAAAGTTCCACTAAATAGTAGAATATCAGGGTTAAAAAGTGTAAATAATTATTACTAGATTTTCTTATTGTAAAATTTATCAACAAACCCTAATATTTTGGTTACTTTTACTATAAAAAATACTGAACAACAGGGAAAGAGAAAATATAAGACTTGTTAAAAGGTGCACAGAGTTTTTAACAACTAACTAACTTTCGTAACAACTTCTCTCTATGGAAATGTTTTTGCTTTGTCTAGAATGTTCCACAGTACAGATTAAATCTATCACAAGGGAGAAGAGCAGGTTACACCACTACACTGCTCTACATTACAGGTCAGATCTGTGGAGAGGCAGCCCTAACCACAGACGGAATGATTGTATTTTTGAGCAACAGAAACACCAGTAATGAATAAATGTTAAATGGACGTGTTTAAAGTCATACCATGGGACATTCCAGGCAAAACAAGAACATCTCCATGGGAACAAGCACTAGAAATGTTACGCAGAAATGTGTATTATGTTATTTTATTATTATTTATTTATTTTAATTTTTTCTTGTATGTACCTTTTACATGTATATAAATTTTATCTGTGGAAAAAAAGGACATATATACTGTGATTTATATGGAGAAAAAAAAAGCACAGAATAAATTGTAAATAAAAAAATAAGAAAGAAATGTTACGCAAAGCTCTTTAACTTAGCCTTATAGTAGCAGTCTTCACTTACAAAAAAAAAAAAATTAAAAAAAAAAATTAAAAATTAAATTAAATATAAATAAATAAAACATAAAAAAATCTAATACAATCAAATAAGGAAAATAATAAATAAAAAAAAAAGATAAAAAATAAATAACTAAAACACAAATAAGGTAAAATAAATAAAAAATTTAATAAAAAAACTTAATATAATAAAAAAAAAAAATAATAATAATACAATAAAATAATAATAAAATAAATAAAATTATTTAAATAAAAAAACTTAAATAAAAAAATTTAAAAGAAATTTAAAAAATAAAAAAATTAAATTAAATTAAAACTTAAATTAAAAAAAATTAAAAATGAAATAGAATAGAATAGAAAAATTTTAAAAAAGGACCTCCCGTGTTCAGGCTGTGTAAGTCATGGTATCTGTATCACGTACACAGAGCTGCCTTTGATGGGGTAATCTGCTCTGCTGTACTCTGCACCTGACCATACTCTCAACATAAGTGCCCAGTATTAGTCAGGCTGCATGCTTCTGTACACAACTAATCCTCTGAGTGTTCGAACCAGCGCTGGCAAGTCGAGAGCCCGTGTGGAGTTTTCTCTATTGCAACACTTCACTTCGACGAACAGTTACGATGCAGCA